AATGCAATGATAAAACCATGATAAATGAGAGTTATGATTTTGGCAATGAAATGACATGGTATGACCATGGTAATTGATTGTCACACGGTACAATGAAATGCCATGAAATGTCATCAACCATGATATACCATGGTAATACCATGGTAAATGATTGTCAGGTACATAACAATAAAATATCATGGTATGACCATGGCATTTGATTGTCACATCATACAATGAAATACCATCAACCATGATATACAATGGTAATACCATGGTAAATGATGGTCAGGAATATGGCAATGAAATACCATGGTATTTGATTGGCACATCTTACAATGAAATGCCATGAAATGCAATCAACCATGATATACCATGGTAATACCATGGTAAATGATGGTCAGGAACATGGCAATGTAATACCATGATAATACCATGGTATTTGATGGTTAACTTTGAACATGAAATACCATGAAACATGGTATAACATGATATACCATGGTAGAAAATTGACCAAAAAACACCATTGCCACCATGGTCAGAATTGATGGTAATTTCATTGCCGATCATGATAGACCATGGTAAACCATGGTATACCATGGTATCATGGTTTACGTTTAAACATGGTAATGACAGAGATAGGGGCCATACACTGAAAAGAGCCCCTAAAAGTGGGCGTGGCATATTTACTTGGTTACCATAGCAACGCCGTCGCGGAATCAGAATTGCCAACATCATTTTTCTTGATCAGTATCATTTCTAGTTCATGAAAACATATGTCGCTTAGCTCGCCTCTAAAAAGGACACGGAACCTCTTATTTGGACTTTTGCTCCCACACTATAATATGATTTACATAACAAAGCACTGTGCTTGATCGCTGAATAACTCATGTATTTACATATTTCTGATATAAACACAAATAAAACAATTGATTTTAGATTCAATTCTATTAAGGTTGGTGTTTCCTGTTTATTTTATCAGTACCAAGTAGTGGTGGCATTTTGTAGGGAACCATGTCAATTCAATCAGCCAGTTTCAGAACATTTTCCCACCACATATCTCATTTTTTCTAAGAAAATATATCTTATTCTTTATTCAATTTTAAGAAATGCGTTTCAAACCGCTAAACCATATTCCAAAATCCAAATACTTTTTCAAAATACAAGTGTTGATATTATTTTAGGCAACACATGTACCTGTTACCATGGCAAACACTTATGATACGACGTCAGATACTGTACATCACGGCGTAACATTGTAATTGTCCATTTTACCGACAAAATGCAAAGATTTACGCGATAAATATGCGCAATGCTCCTCCAAGTAATTGCAGAAGTTTTAATATTCGTGGAATCTTCTTAAAAACTTCAAGTTTTGTTCAGATTAATGTGTGCTTCAATACAATTCTATATTCAAAAAGGTTGTATCACGATATACAGAATTAGAATCACCAGAAAGTAGACATTTCAAACCCTACCCGTTTTCTTCTTTGTCGCGCTTTTCGGCCCCGCGCTCTCGTTGTCGCACCGTCTTTCTAGACACTTTCAAAGTGCCCCTTGTCATATTCAACTGATATACACAGACGGGACGATATTAAGGATTGTTAAATGCATTATTTGTAATTGATTTTAACTCGAATATTTAGTTTTATTTATTTGAAGCAATGAATAATAAAGGAGAACATATAATACGCTAACGGCATAACGTCTTATTTTGTAAAGGCTTCACTTGGGGTTGCGGTGATAAAATGATGTCTATCTCAATATATACTGGATCAAATTAAATGAAATTAATTGTATGTAGTAAGGGGTATATTTAATAGAACATGCTGAAACATTGAAAAGTTTTGAATGTTTATCCCTTAATTAGAAATATTTGAACTCAATAATGAAACGTAATTTTGTGAATTTTTCACATGGCTTCACTTCATATTTCTTTCAATTTATGCTTCTTACAGACTGAATTTCAATCGAAATGATATAGTTTTTTGATAAAAATATAGAATATGATATGCCTTTCAGGAATCAAAAAATAATAATTCACCTTTCAAACGATTTAATGTTTAATTGATCAAAATATATATCTTGTTGGTACGAAATTCTGCCTGTCCACACTTTTTTTGCATAAATATAAGCGTTAAGTTAGCATTGTTATATTATGACGTCATCAACCAGAATCTGTTTGTCTTTTTCAAAATGGTGAATTTAAATATTGTGAAAGTTTGAGAAAGATCCGTTAAGAAATGAAAAAGTTATCTTCATTTTTCGTTTAAAATTGAATCATTTTTCTTCAAAATGTTACAGTCCACACCCGGTTTTAGCATATAAAGTCGCATAATACGGCTTGCGTGATTCGCATTTAAAAAGTCCCAAATCAGTTATTTGGAATTCTGATAGGCAAAATATTTCATGGACATACGTGTTCAACTGATGACGAAAAATTGTGGAAAAATATGATTTTGCTGTCGAGATATTGCGGTTTTAAAAGTAAGAACGCATGTAAAAATGCAGTAAAATGCCGCGATGTACAGTATCTGACGTCGTATCTTATGTGTCTTAAAATGTAGCATTACTACATAGCAGTAACTCATATAATCAGATAGATTTGAAATTAATACATTGATCATGTACCAGTGATCTTCACAGTGGACGCCCACTTGAAAATGAGAAAGGTTATGAAAAATTGTTATATTTTGACTAATTTGGGTCTGAATTTTGAAAATGAGAATTTTGCACCCACTCGAGAAAAAGTTCTGCGGAGAACAATGTGTACATATAATAGGTAGTTATAAATATCAGACTTTACGCAAGGCAATATTTTTTGGCAATGAATTAATACCCTTTGCATTCGTTCGACTTCACTTCTTAAAAGAGAGCTTCGTCTTCACTCTTTCATTTTACAATAAATCTTTGATCTCACCGAGCCAATCAGAGTTCGTCATCGAAATATGGACGACTTTCTATATGGTCATTTGCTCTGACATCCCCACATAGTCACGCAGTACAAACTTCGACCGTTAATTAAAATTTTTGACCTACCAGGTGTTGGAAAATCAAGGATTACGAGTCTCATACTGCACCGTTTTTCTTCAAACTTGTTCCATTCAAAGCAAAACAAAATTGCCTTTCTGTTGGTACATTGCTTAATTGAAAAGAGTTGCTCGTTTTAGCAGCGTTTTGGTTCCCAGTTGTGAGAAGCCCTTCTCACAGCTGGGGACCCAAATGCCGCTGAAAGTACCAACAGAAAGGCATTTTTGTTATGCTTTGAATGGAACAAGTTTGAAGAAAAATGGTGCAGTATGAAACACGCAATCCTCGATTTTCAAACACCTGGTAGGTCAAAAATTTAAATTAACGGTCAAAGTTTGTACCGCGTGATAGTTAATGAGCACATATTTTGCGCGTGTTCCTTCCACTTTGCTGATTGGTTAAGAAAGGATCAGCGTGGTGGATTTGAAATTATTATCCCATCGAACGAAGTTCGGAGGGATATAGGGAACGCCTCCGTCCGTCCGTCCGTCCGTCCGTCCGTCCGTACGTACGTCCGTCCGTACGTACGTCCGTCCGTACGTACGTTCGTCCGTCCGGGCAATAACTCAAATACCGTTGGCCCGATTTTGTTCATATTTTGTACACATATACCCTATGGGAGTAGAAGTTCTGCTCGAAAGCCGATTTTCAAAATGGCCGCTCATTTCAAAATGGCAGCCATTTTAGTGCCGATTTTACAGTAATTTAGGTGCAATATGTAAAACTGTAATAGCAATATGTTTTAAATGTAAAAAAATTATAAAGGACATTAATAATGCTACAAATGTAGATATTAAAGAAGCACATGGCAGCCATCTTGAAGAATGGCGGCCTTTACTCGTCATTTTACGATTTTTGCTGTAACTCAAAAAATAGTGGAGCGATTTTGTTCATATTTGGTATGTGAATACTATAAGCATTGCACACTGTCTAAAGACACTTTTGGTAGAAGGCGGCCATTTTGAAAAATGGCCGCCATTTTAATGTATTTTTAACGAAAAGTAGTGGAGCGATTTTGTTCATATTTGGTATGTGAATACTATAAGCATGGTACACTGTCCTATGACATTTTTGGTAAAAGGCGGCCATTTTGAAAAAAAAATTGGAAAAATGGCCACCATTTTAACATATTTTATTATAACTCGAAAAGTATTGGAACGATTTTGTTCAAATTTGGTATGTGAATACTATAAGCATGGCACACTGTCCTATGACACTTTTGGTAGAAGGTGGCCATTTTGAAAAAATTTTGAAAAATGGCCGCCATTTTAACATATTTTACTATAACTCGAAAAGTAGTGGAGCGATTTTGTTCATATTTGGTATGTGAATACTATAAGCACGGCACACTGTCTATTTCTAATGACACTTTTGGTAGAAGGTGGCCATTTTAAAAAATGGCCGCCATGTTAACGTATTTTACTATAACTCAGAAAGTAGTAGAGCGATTTTGTTCATATTTGATATGTGAATACTTTAAGCATGGCACATTGTCTTATAAAACTTTGGGGAGTAGTCGGCCATTTTGAAAAATGGCCACCATTTTTATGTGTGTTATTTTACAAGTACGTGTGCGATTTTTCCAACTTGGCTAGTGAGCAACCATTTTGAAAATGGTGGCCTTTCTGGTGTGTTGTTTTATGATATGTGCTATTCGTTTGTAAAAATGCCAGCCATTTCTGTTCGATGGGATTCGCTACGCTTTGGCGTTGCCGTTGTTCTGGTTTATTACCTTGGCTGTCACAGGCACCACTCTTCGGGCAGGGCTGCTAAACTGAAATATAGTCTATACTAGGCAGAGTGTAGTTTATAACTAGACTCTGCATGCAGGGTATGAATTAAGGGACTAACATTTCAACTTTTACTGTCTTATGCCATGTGAGAACAGATGGTGACACTCTGTTCTATAAATAAAATGCCTTGTGTTGTTTATATCTTCACGTTTATGTGTTCTCTCTCATTCAGTAAGATCTTTCGTTGACCTTTTTCAGCCTAACTTTGGAGCTTCCCTCCAAATACTGAAGGTAGAGATTGGTGGAGATTCACAAAGTACAGGTGAGTTTCTGCCTGTCCTTCCGTATGTCCATATGTGAAAAGAGATTTTAAAAAATACATCACAAAGTCTTGTAGATTAGCCTAATTCACCCATGTGATAAAATGTATACTGGCCTAACATAGAGGCTTGTATTTAATTGTGAATACTTCTTAGGAGACACATGATCAAATTGGAAATTCAACTTGTACATGTACCTGAGTAAATGAAGGATTTACTATTGTGCTATATTATGTGCTTTGTATGAGCCTGTAGAGTTCAATTTGATATTTTATGTTGCTGTAGATGGTACTGAGTCATCCCACATGCATGAGAGCTGGGATGAGAACTACAAGAGAGGATATGAATGGCAGCTCATGCTGGAGGCTAAAAAGGTAAATTCTTGTTTGCTAATTTACAAATTAGAACTTTTCAGTTCCATCAAGCATCAAGTTTTGTGGATATAGGGAATGCTTCCATCCAGTCCGGCTGTCCATCCATCCATCCATCCAACCACCCATCCATCCATCCATCCATCCATCCATCCATCCATCCATCCATCCATCCATCCATCCATCCATCCATCCATCCATCCATCCACCCATCCATCCACCCACCCATCCATCCATCCATCCATCCATCCATCCACCCATCCATCCATCCATCCATCCACCCATCCATCCACCCACCCATCCATCCATCCATCCATCCATCCATCCATCCATCCACCCATCCATCCATCCACCCATCCATCCATCCATCCATCCACCCATCCATCCATCCACCCATCCATCCACCCACCCATCCATCCATCCACCCATCCATCCATCCATCCACCCACCCACCCATCCATCCACCAATCCATCCATCCATCCATCCATCCACCCATCCATCCATCCATCCACCCATCCATCCATCCATCCACCCATCCATCCATCCATCCACCCATCCATCCATCCATCCATTAATCCATTAATCTATCAATCCATCCATCCAAATTGGAAAATCCAAAATAGCCACCTTATGTTTGAATTGGCAGTTTCCTTGTAACAGGAACTGGTCTATTGAATTTTATCTTGAGCACCTACATACTTCCGTTGTCATTGTATTATTATGCAACAATCTGGCATTATATTATTTTTAACATGTACAGAATAATAAGATTGTCTGATGTTCTGGGAAACAGACTGTTATCTTTGTCGAGAATATTCCATCATTCATACATCCAACAATAACCATCAAAATATACCCAGTACCAACAATTTCAGATAGAAAATGTTGATTGTGACACCATATTCGATCGACCTAGGCAATCATATAAGAATTTTGGCCTAGCTTAAGATTGTCATCAAGATAGCTTCAAGTAAAATGAGCAAACAGCAAACTAAAAGAATTACTAGTATTCTCTTTGAAAATAAAGGTCTGAATTTGAACATTTAATTTGGGAGAAGAGGGATCATATAAGGATAGGTTGTTACCTCTACATATTCCTCTTTTTTAGACCACCCTGTAGATACAACTTATAAGATTTTGAATTCGGTAATCATTTGATGACAAAATGACTGCGATATTTATATGCTGAGGTATTTACATATATAGAAGGTATTGTCTGAAATAGGATTGAGCTCTTTAGTTCGTGATGGTGTAGTTTCTAATTTCCAATGAATGACGTCAATGTATCCATGTTTTCACAGTACGTGATACTAAATATAATCCCATTCTGATTAGAAGTCATCTGCATTACACACTGTCACTTTTTAATTAACAAAATATTAAAAGGTGTGCATAGTCATATATTTAGAATATCATGGAATAGATACACTATTCTATGATTAGAAACACAGGAAATGTAGACCCTTGTAAGGTTGCTTTGTCAGGCATAATATCTACTGTATTTTGCTTGAATCATTAAAAACTGTAAAACATGTTAAATTCGCGTATATTCACGTGAGTGTTAAATCGCGAATTCAGGATCCTGCAAATTAAAAATTGGACATCACCTTTTTTCCTGGGTAACGTGAATGAAGAATAAAACATACTTATATACAATATTTCTAAATTTGTTTTGTTCCTCTTATTCAAGTGTTTTATGCAATTATAAAACAAACGTGAAAACAAACTTAGAAGTCATGTTGAAATATATTTGTTTATTGCAATACTGCATGCTATGTTTTAAACAATAAAACAATTGTACTTTATGAAGTTAGATAAAAACAGCGTTTGTTGTTTTAAAATATCATCATAAATCATAAAACTGTCATAATTGTGTTCAGGTAAAACGATAAAGTGATGTGTTAAGAAATCGTCATAGTAATAATTTAAGTTAAGGTAAAATGTTGTAATTATTCTTTCCCCTGTGACTTGATTCCTCTTTCCAATCACACTTTCCAATCAACGGGTATTAACTCATGACAAGAAAGTTTGTAAGTTTATTTCTAGGATTATGTTTACAATTAACCTATCATGAGTTTTATTTTCAATCGAAAAACAACGGGTGGCAATCGTATCTTGTTAATTAACAAGATAATACCCCGAGATACAATCAATTAGAATATTAATCCAAAACAATCATATCTTACACTAAATTTTTTCCGAAACAGGTTTTATTCCTTATCACATTCCAATACAATTTGACAGTTAACTTTGTTAACATTTATTTATAACACAGATTTGATTTATTATTCGCGTATTGTGGTGATACATCGTGAAAACATGAATATGCGAAAAGAATCAAATGTACAAATCCGCGAAAATTGCTGCCACGAATTTAAAGTGTTTTACAGTAATTTGTATGAATAAATTATGGGGAATTCTAAATGGTCCATGTGGAGTAAGTAATAAGCATATCCTGCATTTTTACAAACTGTGATAGAGAAACTGTATTACATGCTTTAAACCTACACATGTTATAAGAAAACAGTGTTTTTAGCTAAACTAAGAGGATACACAATAATGAACAAATGTTTAAGAAATACTCAGTAAAGTTGTCATTATGATGATTGTTCCTTTGATTGTTCCTCGCATTGTTGGTGACAAAACTAAATTTCTAAAGATTTCATATCAAATGTCTTCAATAAGAAGGTTTAAATAATATGCATTGAATATCTAGGAAGAATATGTAAAGCTCAGGTAGCTTAGCAGGTTAATGCTCGTTGGCCATTTAGTTGACTATGGTTTGAAACTTGTGTCAGTGGTTGTGTTTTGATATTTTGCAAGAAAAAACACTTTATTACGATGTCAGCTCTATAATAAAGCATTAATTATCTTGTCACTTGTAAAAATAATGTGTATCCAAATATTGCATTTTATGGAAAGGTGAGTCTTTAAACATCCAAGACATTATTTTCTGTTAGAAAATCAGCATTCAAAACAACATAATCCCAAATGTCATTGAATAAAAAAGTAATCAATGATTTCTCATAATACACTCAGTTGGCTCCTCCTGAATAACAACCTAAAAGGCACAATATTTTCCATATTTCATGAAAAATTATCAATTCATATTGTCCTAGTCTCACCTCGAGTGCTGATATAGCAAATTGATAAATTAATCTGGTGTCCCTACCAAGAAACATGACAATCATAACAAAGGTAGTTCATCGAACCAAGGACAGTTATTGAAATGAGTTACTTAAAGAACTGTTATTTGACCAGCTACACATTGTTTACAACCCACTCTTTAGTTAATGAAATGTAGAGAAGACGTGACAAAGGTAGTTTTACTGATACGTATTAGTTGTATATATAGAATACATTAATTATTCCAATCATCATGTTTGAAACAAGACACCTTTACCTTAACAAAAAAGTGAGCATGAGTGAATAAACAGGAATATCATCAAAATATCTCCTTTAAATATAAATCATTTCATATTTTAATTAGATATTATGAGAAGCATTACCAAATATGAAAGCGTAATTTAGATAATTCTGTTTTTATATGTTGAACATTTCCAGATTATCTGGAAGAATTAATTTGAAATTTGTTGTCTGAGATGGCTTATAAAACCAGTTGTCGTCACTCTTAGAATCCATAATTACAAGCTGCTTGCAAAGACAATACATTCCTTGATTGAAATGTGAGATTTCTAAACTGAGAATAATTTACATTCTATATATCATGGAGGAGATCTATGAATTTCAGGAAAAATAGTAGAGAGTTCTAAGCAATATTTTTTAGTATTATTCAATTGATAATTAATTATACAGACAAAGAAGACTACAACATGGAATTCCATTTTGACATTTACTTTATGAAACATTGCTTAGTTGTAATAAGCTTAATCCTGATGTCAAATATAGTTGCGGCGGAATCGGGATCATTAACAACTGTCCATGATGTTACTGTGTCCTCGGTGACAAGATCTTCAACAAAAGTGGACGTTGCCACATCAACAATGACCATTGAGGCCCCAGTGACAGAGGAGAATGTCAGCTATTCAGCTTGTGATACAGCAGGTCAGGTCTGTGATGGCAGATGTGGACATACGGGGAATGCTTCAATTGGTATATGCCAGTGTGATCTACTCTGTACTACATTCGGGGATTGCTGCCCAGATTTCAGAGCAAAGTGTCTAAGAGATGTCTCGTTGAAGCAGGTTCGTAAAGCTCCACAGTTAGACACCCCAAGCCATGCAAGGGGAACATTTGAATGTGTGGCTGTTAATCATAATAAAAGTGTTTATATGAAAACTTCATGTGACTCAGGATTTGTCAACAATGACATTATAGATTTATGTGTCCAAGAGTCGAGGAGAGTAGACACTAAAATACCAGTCACAGACTTAGCCAGTGGTAACATTTTCAGAAATATATACTGTGCAATATGTAACAATGCGACAGAGCTTCACTTCTGGAACATGAGCCTTCATTGTGATGTCAGAAAATACCAAAACATTTCAATTTTCGATGCTGACATGTTTGACCCATACCCGAATCAAGACTGTGCATTTGAGTATACACCCAACCATATGGATGAGATTGATGTCCGAGAGTGCATGATGGCCATTTCAGATTGTGACAATTGTGAGGAGAATAAGTTGGCCCTATGTAAAACCTATGGATTGGAGCTAGTGGTTGATCCTCAAACTGGCCTGGTGTACCATAACAAGTACTGCATGAACACATCACAAGTGGCCCCTCTCAAGTTATGTGATCAGATAGAACAGTCCAAAACTGTTCAGGACATTGAATGGTATGACATCAATGTGGTGAGTGAAGGGAATGGTAGTATGTTACTCTCTGTGGCTATTCAAGGTGTCTCAACACATGGTGATGAAGATCAGATGATGTTTCAGTGCTCCTTAGCTGAGCAGGGTGAATTTGTTTCATGTCCCTCTAGGTATGATCTTGTAGATGGTGAATGTGTTACTGATGGTGCCTTGTTCCTTTTCAATATTACCTCAGTTATTTACAGGCTTGTTCCTGGTGTGCTCATCAGTCTAGATAGCTATAATGCTAGGCTCGTAGACATCCTCCAGCAATTTCTTACTCTCGTTGGCAACATGAATATTATCACAGAGCAATCCATCTGGAATTTTTCCCCATTTAAACTTGAACAGAAGAATGTGATTCATGTTTATTTCCCAGCTTATACATCAGCTGATGCTATAGTGAAAGCATTTGAAACAGTCACTGATAACATATTTGGTCTCCAGTCTGGTAACACTTCTACGACTAAACTGAGTATTAGCTACATGTTTATCTATGGGGTGTATGGGGTGTCGAATGTGACTGAGCCAGAAGGCTGGACGAGCGACAGTATACGTGGTCTTGTCACTCTCACTTGTCTCCTTATATCGTCTGCTTTGCTTATTGTTCGCATTATTCTTCAGTCCTTCATCCGCGTCTTTCACAATCATCATGGTAAGGTGCAATGTTGTCTGACAGGCTCTATACTTGCTGCAAATGTTTCCTTTCTGATGCGTGGTGTTTACCTAGTCACAAGTGTACCCTGGGTATGCACTGCTATGGCTATCATCACCCACTGGTTCTACCTTCATATGTTTACCTGGATGCAGGTAGCAACTTATGATATCTACACCAAATTCAGCAAGTCTTTTGCCAATCTGGTTATCCAGAAGCAAGACTTGGGCTACTTGGGTGTTCTTTATGCTATCACTATTCCATCTATCATTGTTATAACTGCAGTGATTGTTGATTTTGTTCTGCCTGAAGACAATCCCTTCACTCCTAATTATGGCTCTGAGGTCTGCTGGATATCCCAACAGTATGCCTTGCTCACCTTCTTCATTGCTCCCATGGCTATCATCCTCATCGGTAACGCAGCTATGTTCTTTGTTACTGTCCAAGCGATCTTTCGCAATGGCAACAACCTTCTCACCCCTAATATACAGCAGCGCAAAGCTCACATGATTGGTGTGTATCTACGTCCTTTAACAATGGTTGGATTGACATGGTTCATTGGTTTATTAGCCAATGTTATCTCTGTAGACCCAGTGTGGTACCTCTATATTGTCTTGAATGCCCTCCAAGGGGCTTTCCTTGTCATGTCAGCTCTCTGCTCCAGGCGTGTTTTTGACAGCAACTCAAAGTCCAAGAGACACAAGACCACAAACTTTCCCTCTTCAAGTACAAGTCAGCTTTCTATATTCTCATTCAAATTGTAGAACTGAATAACCCAGATGCGAGTAGAAATAATCTTGATTTACGTCATTAAAAATTCAAAACTCAGTCAAAGTAATATCATATTTAAAATCTACATGTAAAATTACATCTAGAAATGTGGTTTTAAAAAGTGTTTATCAACTTTGAAAAATTAATTTTCTTTGAAAATGTGACTTCTAGCTCGGGGAGATTCCCCATAGACCCCATGCTATAAAATCACAAAAAATGAAATATCTTTTCTTTTAGTGGACAGATAATATTTTGCTTTACTGGACATATTTTCATTAGTATAAGTATCAGACACATAAGGGTTATATTAAAATTAAGCCACTTAAATTGATAATATTCAAGCTTAAGGGAACTTTCTTATATACCTGCCATGTTAATTGACCCGAATCAGCCACCTGGTGGTGAAACTGGTAACTACCTACTCGCATTTGGGTAATTATGACCAGGGGCTTAGCCAAAAGATCTAAAATTAGGAAAGTCAAATATTAATAGGTAGGGAAAATTTAAGCTAAATGAGGTATACTACTTAACACCCTTTGAGCTCATTTTTCAGTTTTAATGGAAAACGACATCTGAAAAATATATATTTATGTAAATCTTTTCTGAGAAAGTGTCCTGATACTGAATATCCAGCAGGCCTCAGAACCATATTTAGGAGAAAATAAGAACATTTTATGATTTAATGTTAAAGGCATACTTGAAATGGTCTTTTCAAATTAAAGATGGAGATTGTGTTGGTTGACATATAAAAACTATCAAGCAGTATATGGAATGTAGAATTTATGATAATGTTTTACTCGCTATATTAAGTGATAGCTATTATATCGCTTGACATACAAAGATATTTTTATAAAGCTGTTGTAGATAATGAGAAAGAATTGCTTGACATGTGAAAATGATGATTATTTTGATATCAGGCTATTTTAGAGATTTTATGTTGATAAGCAAACAATGCCCAACATGTATTTTGGTAATGCCACAGAGTAAATGCTTGAAGACATGAATAGAACATTGCTTGGTATTGTTTTAGAGATTTTATGTTGATGAGTAAAAATTGCTCAACATGTTTTGTGATAATTTTAGAGAGTAAATGCTTGATGATACAAAGAGAGAACAATTTGCTTGGCATTGTTTTATAGATTTTATGTTGATAAGCAAAAATTGCTCAACATGTATTGGGATAAATTTAGAGAGTAAATGCTTGATGATACAGAGAGAACATTGCTTGGTATTGTTTTAGAGATTTTATGTTGACAAGTGAAAATTGCTCAACATGTATTGTGATAATGTCACAGAGTAAATGCTTGATGATACAGAGAGAACATTGCTTGGTATTGTTTTAGAGATTTTATGTTGAAAAGCAAAAATTGCTCAACATGTATTGTGATAATTTTAGAGAGTAAATGCTTGATGATACAGAGAGAACATTGCTTGGTATTGTTTTAGAGATTTTATGTTGAAAAGCAAATATTGCTCCACATGTATTGTGATAATTTTAGAGAGTAAATGCTTGATGATACAGAGAGAACATTGCTTGGTATTGTTTTAGAGATTTTATGTTGACAAATGAAAATTGCTCAACATGTATTGTGATAACTTTAGAGAGTAAATGCTTGATGATACAGAGAGAACATTGCTTGGTATTGTTTAAAAGATTTCATGTTGATAAGTGAAAATTGCTTAACATGTATTGGGATAATGTCACAGAGTAAACGCTTGATGATACAGAGAGAACATTGCTTGGTATTGTTTTAGAGATTTTATGTTGAAAAGCAAAAATTGCTCAACATGTATTGTGATAATTTTAGAGAGTAAATGCTTGATGATACAGAGAAAACATTGCTTGGAATTGTTTTAGAGATTTTATGTTGAAAAGCAAAAATTATGTATTGTGATAATGCCACAGAGTAAATGCTTGAAGATACAGAGAGAACATTGCTCGGTATTGTTTTAGAGATTTTGTGTTGATAAGTAAATATTGCTCAACATGGCGTGTTGTGAAAATGCCACAGAGTAAATGGTAATTGATGATACAGAGAGAGAGAGAGAGCATTGCTTGGCATGTACATACAGTGTATTATGAAAGTGGTGTAAGGTTATTTTATCTGTTTTGAAATATTGCTGGACAATATATTATAATGGTAGTACATGTATGTTGTTTTAGTTATTTCATGTTAATGAGCAAGTATAGTTTTGCTAAAAATGTAGATACAGTAGAACCTGTAATCCGAACACCTGTCTTTGACCACCTCTCAATGTAAACACTTCTTCTTGTTCTCAATTTTGTAATTCCTCATTAAGTTGCACAGTAAGAACATTGATGTGTTAATGTCTTAACTTAAATATACTATAGATTTGTTTGATTTTTATCATGAATAGTATATATAGACATGTAAAACACATTCCAAGAGATTTTGGCAACATCTGTCACCATGGCAATGAATTAATGGACTTAAAACATTTTAGCATGTTTGTAACATACAAGGTGATCGAATAAAAAAGTAACCCACTTTTCACCTTTTTGCTTCGGGGTAGTGTTCATTCATCCAATGTCTTAGAACAAATTATTTGTACAAATCATGATATATAGTGGCATATATTACAAGCCAATTTAATGAAAATGATAGATGTGTTATAGTTTGTTAGATGTTTTATGATATGGAGAAAATAACACAAATACGCACATACAAATGATGAAATGTGTAGGGTTTATATATGTTTAAATGAGAGATAATCGCTTGAGATGTGAAAATAATGATATTGGTAATATTGTATTGTTTAAATGATTTTATGATATGGAGAAAACATTGATTGGCATACATATTAATTATGATAATGGCTAGGGTTTTTATGTGTGAACAAATGAGAAAGAAAGATGAGAATGATTATGATACAGCATTGTTTTTTTGTTTTATGATTGTAAGAAAATATAGTTTGACATCTGATATCTGTGTGTTTTTATTGCACTTCAGAAGTGCTATATTATTGCCATCTATTGTTAATTGGGAGGTAAATGTGTATATGTGCACAAGAAATCTTATCAAGTTAAAAAGCCATTCATCCTTTTATTAATAGAATTTTTACAGATGCTAAGTTATAATTTGTTGAATTACGATCCCTAATCCGATCCGGATAAATTTTGTCATGGTAATGATGCATTGTGGGATTAATCTTGGAATTTATTGAGATTGGTTAATCAGTGCAATCTTTTGGATAAATTTTATCCTTAAATCTCAATCCAACTGGATAGGTAGATTACTTCCAATGTAATTTGGATACATCTTGGGGATTCCCCTCAAAATCCTAGGATCATACCAATTCACCAAATATTAATCCAGATCAATAATCCAAAAAGTTGAATTTATCCAGATGAATTCTTGGATCATGCCAGTTCATGGCCCCAGGATTTTTTTTGATCACACAGGATTCTCTTTACTTAAAACCTTCATTTTTTATTAAAGTAAGTCTTCCTTATTCCTTGTGCCCCCCCCCCCCCCTCAAACATCCCCACAATGAGAGAGACAGGTTGGTGTTGTATCCAGCGTTTTAATGCAAGAATACTTAAAAGTAAAACTGCTATCTATCTGTATTCGATTGAGAAAAATTAGGATTATACAAATTGTATAGAGGGATACATTGTATATAAAATGCCACCTGTTCATACATCCATCCATCTTTAGATCATCTATAAGTCTGAACATCAATATTTCAGTTATTTTTTTGTTCATATTATGCATGAAAGCAATTAATCGATTAATCGTAATAATTAATTCAGATGCTATTAATTTGATAATCTGAATTTATTCATCCTGTTATTATCCCAACGAACAAAGTTTGTAGGGATATGGAAAAGTCCTTCCTTCCTTTGTTCGTCCATCCGTCCTTTTGTTTGTCCGGACAATAACTCAAATATACCAATTGACAGATTTGCATTGCACTCGACAAAGGCCTAGTAGCACAACGAGAAATTCAAAGTATAACATATTTTTATTGCAGAGGAATCCAAAAATCAAGCTATATGGTTTACCATGGGCATTCCCAGGATGGGTGGGCAAGGGAACCAGGAGCCCATACAAGTTCCCAGAACTCAGTGCCAACTATATCACCAAGTGGTTAGTAGGAGCTAAGGTGCACTACAACCTAACCATTGATTATGTTGGGGTAGGTGAATTCTACATTATTAATTGATATTCTAATCTGCAAGCAGCAGAATACATGCTGTTTATTGATAACCATAAACTACTACATGTGTATAGTAAGATACACTGGTGGATCCAGGGGGCCTGTTAGCCCAATGAGCCCAACCCACCCCCCCCCCTCTTGGGTGGGCCTAGAAAAAACTAGGGGCCAAAATATTGTGTAGGGCGCAGAAATTATTATTCCTGACTTTATATGTGGGTCCCCCTTGTTAGCTTCTGGATCTGCCAGAGAGTTACTTGTATTTCAATAACCTTTTGGTTATTGAATCAATTTTAGCTTAGCCTCAATGACACTTGCTCTACAATGGCTGTAGCTTCACAAATCGATATAGAGAATCAACATTGTACTGCTTATCCATATATTATATGCTGCACATTTCTCTCAATTTTGGGAAGCTACGGCCACTGTACAGTAGCCGTATATCAAATGTGACTTTGGCATTAGTAATTTATTTCAATTGAGTTTATTTTTATTGTTGATTTTTTATTTTAATTTTTGATAGAAAAATGTATTTCTAATTTTATAATGAATCTACAATTACTTTGTTTCAGATTTGGAATGAAAGACCATATGACATAACATACATTAAGGTACATTTTATTTTAAAATGGCAGATTTTTGTCACAGTCCAAAAGGATAGTTTCTAAATAGCAGAAAAATCAATAAAATCTAGTACTGCCTTTTATTTAGCTTTTAATTTGGGCTAGAGTTCCATTCACTTACATGCTAAAATCTTGCTATGGATATTTGGCCCAAGTTTTAAATTATCATAGAAAATTATTCAGATTACATAACTGTGTAAATCAAAGCTGTTATAGGAGAAAACATTTCACTGAATTAAAATATGCCATTTAAAAGAAAGTAATGTAAGTCATTAGAGGTCTAATATGCAAGTCTCTTAAAATCTCAAGAAAAACGAGATTTAGTGAGATTTCAAAAGCTATATGGAAACTGTACTAATATTAAATTATTTTTGAGATTTTACTGTTATGTTGAAAGTAATACATGTTATCCAATACGACAGGAAGTAAAACCATCAAGTTGTGCCCTGCCCTCTATACAACAGTACAAGTCCATTCTCGTAAATTCAACCAAGTTCAATTGCATGCTTGATCAATCTCCTTGCAGACATTGAGGAAGATGCTGGACAGCAATCTGCTGGAGAGTGTTCAGATTGTTGCTGCAGATGGAGGGTGGGGGATCAGTAGTGACATTATGAAAGATCCTGTTCTGAGAGATGCGATCACATACATTGGGTTAGCTCTCTTATTTCTATTACTGTAAATTGTTAATTGCATTTGCGAGCCTTTTTGGACATTGAGCAAAATATATTACATGTTATAAATCCATCTTTTATTGACTAAGAGAGAGCTGCATACAGTGTGTCTCAAAAAAAATGTTACACTCACCAAAAGTTCAATATCTTTCATGATTTTGAGTTTTCCCCTAAAATATACTTTGGATACCAAAAGACAAATCTTTCTCGAATAATTTGACACCATCAGATTCAAAATCTGTCCTTGATTGGCTGCACAGGACAGCTTTTAGTGCCCCATGGTAAATTCTGACTTGCGCCAACTTCTAAGTGATTGGATGGACCAAATGACAAAAGAGGAACAGTTTCTTTAACATTTAACTTTCTTCCGAGTTGAAGCTTGACCTTTAACTGAGTCTTTAATGTGATTCTGTAATTTTCCTATTTGTCTTACATCTGATCATTAGGTCTATCCACATAAACATGCGGTGCCTTCAACATGTTCTCCTAAGCAAATCTGAGGTACCCTTGCCCATGCGCACATGCATTGTAATAGCACATTGAATCCATCAATTATTTTTGCAGAAGTTCATTTAGGTCAGTTTGTGATGATGTAAAGTGCTTTCAGAAGCCCTTCAAAAAATCAAGGGTGTAAAGTGGGATGACCCCGGGGCCAATGAGTTTGGTAATTCAATGCTATCCTCTGATTTCCAAAGAATTCTACCAAATGATCTGCCACAGGCCTTTGCACCATCCTCTTGCCATCATACGTAACAAAATTGAACACCTGATACCTGATAATTGAATCTTGTATTTTTATCCAGGAAAGAAACACCTGGATCATTGATCATATCAAGATATCACTGTCCACAGCATTCACACCAAAAAAGAATTGATCACTAAATGTCCCTCCACTGAGAAGTTGGCGCAAATCAGATTTCACATGCGTTTGTAAAATCTGTCCCGTGCAGCCAATCATGGATGGATTTTGAATCTGATGGTATGGATTTATTTGAAAAAGACTGGTCTTGTGGTATCTAAGTATATTTTAGGGGAAAAGTCAAAATCATGAAAGATATTGAACTTTTTGTAAGTGTAACATTTTTTTTGAGACACACTGTAGTTACATTATTAAAACATGACAAGTGTCACTGTTGACTTTTGGTAAGAACAGAAATATTTGAAGTTTCTCTTTTGGATCCAGAATCAAATATGTGGATCTGAGAGCAATATGTTATAAAGATGTAACTAATTTGCAATACAACATGTGGTGGGGACATGTTGTTATAGTCTCCAACTTTTTTGTTGCGCAGTCGGTGTTTGATGTCCAGTATCAGTAGCATGCCTTGTTTTCTATGTACAGAACTCACTACCCAGGGACTGTTTCAAGCAATGAAGCAAAGATGACAGGCAAACAACTCTGGTCTTCAGAAGACTACAGTACATTTAATGATGAAGTTGGGGGTGGCTGCTGGGCTAGGGTAGGTCATATACATGTATACTTAATGTACAATATCACATAAGGGGGGGGGTGTCATATGAATATAAATTTAGAGCTTTCTGGTACTTGATTGCTACATCCCCCTTCCATACAGCAACAGTTATTACAATTCCTTTATATATACTTTTAGATGTATTTTATTCCAAAACATATGTACGAAAGATATGAATCAGTAATGGATGCTTTTTAGGGATATATTTCTGATACAGTTTAACCTGTAATGTCAACATAGTGGCTTCCATCAAGCCACCTTAATGGGTTCAAATGTTTTAAAACTTGAGTTTCAATAGCTATTTCAATAACTGAGTAGTGATCTACTATCTGCACACAATGTGCACATTAGATAATCACAAATATATTTTTATATTTCAGATTCTGAATCAGAATTATGTGAATGGATATATGACAGCGTAAGTATATTCCTAATCCAATGTGTATACAAATACTATTCAAGTTCTATATACATGTACATACAATCATACTGAAAGTAATTTTATGAACACTCAACTTTTTACAGGACAATTTCCTGGAATCTAATAGCCAGTTACTATGAGAGTTTACCATTTGGGCGTGATGGTCTGATGACAGCCGAAGAGCCTTGGAGTGGCCATTATGTTGTGGATACTCCTATATGGGTCTCAGGTAATAAAAAGGATTATGCTTAGGAGTTAAATAAGAGAAGAGGTACTGGGCCATTGAGTAATTTAACTGGAACATATCTGGATTGAAGGCTATCAATGTCTCCAATGATCAATTATATTATTCTAGCCAGCTTGAACTGACCAGTGCCTACCAATGACTTCCGTGCAGACAATTTTGTTAAGTTGCTGCTAATGTTGCAAAACTCTGCAATTAACATAGTCTTTGTAATATCTACATGGAATAAACAAAAATACCCCAAACTAGCTCTATGCAGTACAGTAAAACTTGTCTAATTCTAACCCCATTAGGACTAGCAAAAGTGTTCTGTTAGCAGGTGTTCACATTGAGGTGTTTGGATTTAAGAGGTGTTCAGATATACAGGTTTCGCTGTTTTGTATTTTAGCCCATACTACTCAGTTCACAAACATTGGCTGGAAGTATCTGAAGCATGGCATGGGAGTGGGGAAGCTGGCAAAAGGGGGGAGTATGGTGACCCTTACCAGCCCTGACATGAAGGAACTCACCATTGTCATAGAAACCATGGTAAGAAAAAGCATCCAGTAGAACTTGATTAATTAAAAAGTAAGACATCATGTAAATGCTGGTAGAAGCACACTGTCAGCTATTGTCAATTTTGCACAGAAATTGTAGTACAAAAGACTACATGTAGTACACAATTGTATACTATTTCTAGAGTCACAACCACTCCAAATGTATCCGTCCTGCACTGCCAGCGTATGATGTGGCTCCACAGAATGTCACCATCAACCTCAAAGGATCTTTTGTAAGTAATGCAGTAACAAATATTCCTTCACAGATTTAAATTTTAAGGTGTAAGCCAATCTCAATCAGTTTTCTGCAAAAAGATTACTATTCAGGACGTTAAGCACTGTTTATTAAAATTGGTTGTGTAAGATTTTTAAAAATTGCAGATTGGGAGTGCATGCCAAATAAAGTATTTTTGTTTTATTATAGGGTAGTATAACTGAGCTGAATATGTGGACCAGTAAAATAGGCTTCAATGGTCAGGCCAGCGCAATGTTCAAGAATATGGGTAAAATCAAGGTAAGAAATAGTAAGAAAGACTCAAATGGTCAGATAATAGACGTCACATGCTTTCAAATTGGAAAAATAAGATCCTCTTCTGTAGTACATGAATTATTAGATTTTGGAATTATTTTTATATGCACCTACTTCACTATATACCAACAAAAATATAGTCATTACAGTCTGTAGCTCAGTTTCAGTTTTGTCACGATTATCAAATGATATAGGAAACAATTTCAAAAGAAGCACATGGCATATAAGGCAAATATGTGAATATGTCATATGGCATGGACTCCTAGTTATATCGCTCCTTTATTAAAAATGATTTAATATGAACGCATTCAGTGATTTCGGGATTTATAACTGCATTCCAGGCTGGTTCATCATTTACAGTAGCTCTTGATGTTGATGAGATAGTTACCCTGACAACTGTGAATACAGGGATGAAGGGGACCTACCCTGACTCTCCAGCATCCAAACCATTCCCAACACAGTATAAGGATGACTTCCAGTGTGAGTTATTTACATTTACATTATGGATTACAAATCACTAATTCTACATCTTAACATGATTGAGATCCTCTTTTAATATTGAAATTAGCTCACCACTACTAAAGACACTAATTAATTGTTATTGTCATAAGTTATTGTCCTTGCAACTGTACTGAATTCCTCTCGTATTGTATTTTATTCTTGGCTAACCACGTATTCAGACACTATCTTTTTCCAAGCAGCCCTACCCTTAATTCTCATGTAATGTATTCTTAAGTTAACTACTACTTAAGATACAAACTTATTCCAAGCAATTGTTGTTACAGCCTACCCTGAATTCTCAGAGCCGTTCAACATAGCACCACAGATTGGTGTGTTTGAGATCAGGATGTCTCAGGACCCAGCACATGCAAAGTATCTCAAGCAAGTAGTTCTACAGCAGCCATGTGATTGGTGTTCTCAGGATAACAATAAACCAATAGCTATCATTGGAGATGCCTGGTATGCTCTTCTCTGTGTTTAACATATTAAACCATCATATTATACATGTATGGATAGGAAATGTGAGTCAAATGGGAAATGCCACATAAAGCCTTCAAGTTTTGTGTAGTATGTCTATAAAATTTGGTCCATTACTTTTGAATCAACCCTGTCCCTCAGATAAGTCAAAATTGATCAGTTTTAAAGTTATCTTTGTAATCTTGTTTTGTTCATGTTATTATCTGGTCCAAGGGTAAATGGACATGCACATGTTCTGATGTCATTTTGACTGTTATTTATGGCGAGTATGTATAATAATATAATATTGGTTATTAAACCGTTGTAAAAGCTTATCACCAATAACATGTATTGATTTGGTATTGATAATATTTTAGGAGTGATTTAACTGCCCAGATTGACTTCTCGATTCCTAAAGTGAATGGTAGCTCAGGACCATTTATTGCCCTACGTGTGGATAGAGGGGGCTGTGGGGCATACCAGGCCCAGGGTTTGTTCTTCTGGGTCACTACAACTACCAACATGTACTATCTGTCCAGTGATCTAGGTTAGTAGTGCTAATTATCTGCTCCGTAGATGTCATTGTCAGGAGTTTAAGGAGATGTTCATTGAAGTCCATTGAATCATATTTTAAAGTCAGAGCATTGACCTACAATCTGATATGTAAATTTTGAAATGTTTAGTTTGAATTTCCAAAACATTTGGGCTCTTTGAGGAAAACATCAAAATCTAAATGATCTTGAATAATGTTAACATCACTTTAAATGGAAAAAAATATGTAAGGACAGTGTGTTTCCACTTAGTATGTCAAAGACAGTTTATAAATAGGATTATAGCATGATTCCAGTAAGTAAAAATGTTTCAAAGAATAAAAAAGTCTTTTTAAAACAATATCTGGTTATAATATGTTTCACTGGATGAAAAGCTGAAGGTATTTTTCTGTTTCTCCAGCTCATGAAAAACTGCTTGCTCATGGTTCAGCAACTGTCAACACTGATGCTTGGTACACACTGAAGCTTACTGCTAAGGTAAGGACTTGTCACATTCTAATCTTGCAAACTGCCATATGGTGATATTCATCAGATTACTAGTATGATGATATGGAAGCTAATTCCTTTCTTCAGTTAAGCTTCAAGCCAGATGTTTGTATCAAAATATATTGTTGAAAAACTCAAATTAAATTGATCGAACCCGTCTTGAATTTTCTAAATTTTAGCTGGGACCCTGTCTAATACCTCTTTAGAATTCTCATGAAATGATCAACTACCTTGCCTTCCTTGACCTTGTTTTGTATAATTTGTAGGGCAACATGGTCACTGGTGAACTAAGTGGTAAACAGCTGTTCTCTATTGATGTCAGCAAAGCAGGAGCGCCATCTAAAGGTTTTGCCGCATTTGGAACCATGGACTTTGGCTATGGAGAATTTGACAACTTCATGATAAACTAAATCAATGCTCAAGGCCAAAAAATGTGTGTAATATGATACTGACCCAAAATCATTGTTCAAAAATTAATAAGTTGATGTAGATTATATCCAATATTTACTCAAGTCTCATACTTAATTGAGTGCCTTGCACAAAACTGAAAGGTGTGAAACAAATGAACAAAGTACAACATTCTTTTTTCGCAACACATATGTAAAGGTCTTATATAATGCATGTATCACCATTTTGGGGTTTACATCAATGCTGAATCAATTTTGGACATGTAAAATATACTTTTACAATTATTTGTCATTTTCGTGTAGTCCAGATTGTGTATTCATTCATGAATTATATTTATATATGACCTATATTTGATACATGTGCTCATACATTTGTTTTGTCTGAGTACCAGGATTGTGCCAAGCCACAAATATCCAAATAAGATAACACTAGGGCACATATTGTACTGTTTGTCAGAGATTCTTTATTTTTGATATAGCTTAGTTATAAGTGTGATCCATTAAGAGGGGTAGGGAATCTACATTGTATTTTATGTTGCCAAATTTCTTTGATGTCTTATTTTTAGTTATTCCGTGATTTTCAGTTTGTGAAGTTTACAAATTATTTCATTATTTACACATCATGAGGTTAACTATAAACCTCAAGATTCGAAGCCTCTTAAAACTAATCTTGGTAGATCTCCCCCTTAGCTACTTACACTGCCTTTTAGATATTGTTCATAGTGATTGAATTGTTATGTGTTACATCACATATAAATTGTGTAGTTGATATGGGTAGTGCAATATTAAATTCATTGTATAGTCCCAGCTGTAGATTATTCATCAGATTGAATTAGAACTTACAGATCACTGTGTTAATGATTTGGGAGCTGAATGAAAAAAGATGAATGTTCAAATCTAACATTCATTAATCATTGACATTATTTTTGAGAAGTTTATATGAAAATATTAGCTCAATATGATAGATAATTTACAATTTTAATTCCCACAGATTTTAAGTACACCTGTTGAGTGTAGGTGTACATGTTCAATACATATGTATAAATGTAAGTACACCTGTTGAGTGTAGATGTACATGTTCAATACATATGTATAAATGTAAGTACCAAGCTGAATAACTTAACATTCCAATCTATCTAATCTAACAGCTGAATTTGTAATTTGTATTTTTGCAATAAATTAATATAACATGTAAAACATTTATGTATTGTGTTACTGATTTTTGGTAAAATGTGGTGCCTGGAGGTACACCAATCAGTGTTATCTCATTAGAAAAACCTTATAACATTGATCCATCAATTTTGCATAATGTTCATGGTTGATTGGGCAAAAAAGACAACTGTTTCTAAAAGCATGTCAGTGTTTTTATTTTCTGAAAAAATTCATATCTGATTGAATAATATTGAAGATTCAGAAATGTCTAAATTCATTAGAATTACTCGTACCATGAACATTGACTAATATAAAACATCCCTTTGTCATCTTGACATTAAGTTTCATTTACTAACTTGGTGCCTAATTTCAAGTTAATCCTAATCCTCTATGTGATGTTTGCTTCAGGCACTATGCCTGCTGCCAATGAAATGAAACATCGCTATTTAGCTGCCAATGAAATGAGACATCCCTATTTATCTGCCAATGAAATGAGACATCCCTATTTAGCTGCCAATGATATGAGACATCACTATTTAACTGCCAATGATATGAGACACTACTATTTAGCTGCCAATGATATGAGATGTCAATATTTAGCTGCCAATGATATGAGACGTCACTATTTAATGAAGCAATTGTTTAATAGAAAGCAGTTGTTTAAAATTACATGGGCAATGTCAGTGCACATAGGAATTCATTTTGAAGCACTCAAAAATGCCCATGAGTGTTAAAGAGGGAAATGTTCTTTTTATTTACCCTTTTCAGATAAATGCGCATGGGCCTATTAGTGAGAAACTCTGGTAAGGTAGTAATAACACATAAAGACACAAAATTACAATTAATTCATATTTTTACATTTATTGATTAACAAGAACACATCTCCCATACTTCATAGAAGTCCATGGTATTATAGGCAGACAGCTGACCTTTGACATGTCAAAAACAAGGCATTAACATGCAAAATGTCACCACCCACTATTTCTTACAGACGCTAAACACAACCCATTGAACACCATCCACAAAAAAGTTGGAGGCTATAACAATATGTCACCACCACAAGTGGTGACATAATACATCATAACAGAGAATAATAAATGACTGAACCAAAAGGCCACTTTACATGACAAAACAATGCGGTACATACAATATACTAGAAAAGAATAATGCTTATACATTAGAAATGCCTGGCCATGAGGCCTTCTTTGTTTGGAAATTTTTATTATTGTCTGTGTAAGTTTTTGCCATATATAATGACCAGATACAAGGTTTTCCCTCACCCTATTTACTGTATATTTGTACAGGGGTCATAGCCTCAGGTAATAATGGGGCTTTATGGAGGGGTTGCTCCATCAATGGATATGGGCTATACCTGTTACCATGTCTTCTTTCTGACTGTTTCTAGACTGCTAGACTGTTGCTAGATGAGATAAAGAAAACTGTGCAGGCAAGCAGCATAATACTTAAATGTGGGGATATAGGCCACAAAAATACAGCATTGCATAGCATCTTCATGCCAATGTACATACCTGCATGTCATAATAACAATGTTGATGCTCACCAGATATGTTGAAATGAATGAGGAAATGTGACTCAATCAATGGCCAAAGATTTCATATAAAATTTGAACTATAAATAAATAGATACACTGTTTTGGCAATGGAGGTTTTGATAAATGTTTTCACATTTTGGAAATATGCATGTTCTTTTATGAATGTCCTATGGTAGACATTATTTGTAATATGTTCATCGGAACTACAACTGTTCCTCACACAGTTAATATTAATGACTGAGTACTTATATAATTGAGATCTCGGTTCATCTTGTTGTTTAAGTGTTGAATACTGGAAATATCCACTTCTCTTTTCCTTTCATGGTAACTATTTGTTTATAATGAGAACTTATATATTGTAATTGGGATATTGGTTCATCTAGTAGCTTCATCTTTAACTGTTTAGTGTTCAACATTGAAAACATGCTGGTTTTGTCTTCAATAAGAGTCAAAATTTAAAAATTTGGCACAAGCATTCCAAACATTGGTCTACGTTCCAATAAAGATGTACAAAAATCACATGAATTCATTTGCGTCATTGTTCTCGCCTCAAAGACAATCATCTCCCTTTTCTATTGGTAAGCTGGAACTTCAGTTTTATTTTCCTCATCATAAAACTTCCCTGTACGTTTCAGCCAGGGTTTCTCATGCAGTTGTTTGGCAGCACTGTGGAGCTTATCAACATAATCTGGTACACCTGCAAAGAAACATACGATACAACAGGCTATAAGTGTAATCAATTACATTAAAACCCACCTATTTTGAACACCTTTGGGACTGACAAAGTGTTTGGAATTGTAATCTTCACATTTCAAGTTTTTATAAACATGAGTCTGGCAGATAACAAATTTGGAATTGAGATTGGATTATCTTAGTAGGTGTTCAACATTTCTAGGTTTTGTAAACATGTTTCACTGTGAATATTTGCATATCATATAATAATCAAAATGCATGTATTCAAACTATTGTTTCGTTGACCTCGCACTCCTCATGATTTTTGTATTTCATGCAATCAAGCAATGTACATGTTTAGGTTCTTGGGTGACTGCCTAAGAATCAACACTTATTATTCTTATAGAATAAGTGATCTTAAAATAATATGACACCATCCGAATGAAAAAATTTTGTTTTCATATGGCGTTAGAGGCTAAAATTGACACCCTGTACATGCACTGCACTTATATAGGTTTATGAAAACAGTTTCACTCATACCTGTGCTTGCCATCCAATTGTAAGTAATACTGGGGAGAGATGTCTTAGGATCATCAGAATAGGTCATCACATAGTCAAATCCATTCTGAAACAGAACAATAAAATTTCTTTACAATTTTATAACAAGAAAGTGAGAATCAGATCTACTGGACTGGATGAGTCATAAACTTATTTAGTTCAAAAATAGTTCTTCTAAAGATGAACAGAGTTTTTCTGAGAACTCCAGCAAAACAAGTTCAGATTTCAGTTTCAGTTTGATTTTTGATTTTTTGTAAAATTTCATGTGTTTAATACTTAATTATAATATTCATCAATATTATCTCCAAATAATATAATCATCTTCTTAAAAACTATTCAAGGTTTTCCTCCAAATATTTTGGGATCCAAGTTACAATTTGGGCAAAATAACTCTACCTCATCAAAAGTTGTGTGTGGTTTGATGACTATCTTAGAGAAGTATCTATGCACTCTGACATAAGAGTTAGTCTCTGGGTAGGAAGGGTGATCCGTGGCCTGGTTCACAATCACCATCACTTTGTTTTCTACATCAATATTCCGCCTTCTCACATATACATACTCTCTGCTGTACATTGGATACTGGAAAATATACATTAAATTAATGACTAATGATTAGGGGTGAGACAAGTCGAAAAAATCCGATTCGAGTCGAATCCGATTCGAGTCAGAAAATGATGATTCGAGTTTCGAATCCGTTTCGAGTCGCGCGAAATGCGAACAACATCGCTTTTGACCGTTCGTATTTTTAATGCGTCAATGGTGGAAAGCCGGAAATATAAACAAACACAATTCGTCGTAAGTTTATTCTGATTTTATTACATATATTCTTTCATTTATGTGTACATACAATATAATAATTTAATACAAGCATATCCAAGTCATTGAAACTTATATATTCAACGCAATATCGAGTAAAAACATGCATATTGACAGTATTTTTCTGAATTTTTTTATTTTTTCGATTTTTTTTCTCAACTCGATAATGATTCGATTCATCAACTTCGACTCGATTCGACTCGACTCGAAGCCCCAAACCCGCGAGTCCTCGACTCATCGGGTTGTCGTCTCACCCCTACTAATGATTATATTTTATGCTCACAATTTGATGCGACAGCATTTCTATTCAGTAAACATTATTTATCTTAGTCTTAGAGTATAATGCAATGTAAGTTTTTAATTACGCCACTTTTTTGCTCCTTTGAACTGAAAATCTACATTTTGAAAATTCAAAAAGTTTCATAATTGGGAAAGTTTTCAAAATTAGAAGGCAATTTGAATTTGTTTTTCAGATCTCTATGTTTATAATGATAATCACATTTTGAGCCATATCTATTCCAATGGCCAGATCTTTCAAAATTTTCTCATTACACACATTTATATACAAACATCAAAGCTGATCTTGTTATTCTATGAAGGACTTACAGGGTAATGCACCACCCAATGTATGACTTCTTGTCCACTCTTCCTGTCCTCCTCTATACACTCTAACTTGATCACTAGATTGTCCCAGTGTTTCCTGAACTCCAGGTCCAACTGCAAGTAAAGTTATCAAAAAACCATATCAATTTCAAGAATTTCTAAATTGGAATTTAATTATTTTTGAAAAGGAGTGTAAATATTATAGAAAGCGGTCATATTTCAATATAGTGAGAGATCAAATTCTATGATTTTTGGCACTTAACTCCTTAGCTGTAACAGTGATAACATAAATGTGATTTTCTAATAGATATAACTAGAGCTACAGTACTTACATTTACATCATAGAAAGCCCTGGCTGGGACATCATTGTATGTGCCATAGATCTTGTATTCATAGAGACATGTTTCAGGGATGGCCTTCCTCCATGCCTTCAGATGAGGTCTGTCTATGAGACTCTCCCACGAGTCCATGTAATGTGCGTCTGCTGAACGGTCTTTGAGATGTGTCACATGGTTCATGTCTTCTGTAACACTGTAATTAAAAAAAGGAATTTTAAATCATGAATTTAGACCCCATACTGCATGTGGTGAATTTGGGATCCTTTTAGCCTATAAGCTTAAATGAGAATGAATAATTTCAGAATTTCAATTTTTTGACTAACGAGGTTCATACTATCAAGGAATTTAGTGATATTAATTATTGTATATTAGTGCATGGCCTTTCAAGAAAGCTCATGCTTAGTATCAAATGTAAGCTGAAGAGGAGGGGAAACCCCAGAGCTTAAGAGATGACAGACATAATAACGTCTCTTGCTTATCATCTTTGTTTGTTCGAAATTTCACTAGCCAGTTTCGGAATACCACACGTTGTTCTGATGTTTTAATCAATGTTAGTTTTATTCCTTACACATTTCTTTATCTTGATGTGAAATAACAAACTATGATGTTGGTTAACATGCCAGATGTAACATAATATTATAATTATTAGAAGCATTTTTAAAATTTTTGAAACAGCAATTCTTAAAATCGCGGATTCGGTAGTATTGAATCTCTAATAAAGATGGCGCGAAAGTTTTTCCTTATAAGGTCAAAATATTTCCCATGATGCAGTTCGCGGGGGAACAAAATTTTTCTACCTTGTTTTTCCCCGTTGGTTTAACATGGGGATTTTCATAACCATTTTTCAAGCGATATTTTCGATCGAATCTCCATGCGATCGGAGAAAACAAACTATCAGAAACAATTAGTCTTTTAATAATCTTTATATAACATATATTTTTTTTCATTTTATTGGCTCCTAACGGGGTGAAAACAATGATTGAAAATGGGAGTATATTCCGGAAGAGAAGAAGTCACGTGACTAGTCGCCATATTGGAAAAAGCAATTCCATTCGACTTTCAACACGTTCATGCCAATATTACCGCACTACAAACTGTAACATCGATGCAACAACTGAATAAAAGTACTCATCTTCATATTACATTATAGAGTTACGTTGAAAACCCACAAACAACTGAGCATTTGACCAAAGAAGACACGTCGCTATTATCTAGGTCAAGTTTAGTGGTTCGAAAGCAAATCTTACATACTCGTTTCCGAATTTTGTTGTTAATTGTATAATCTTTTATTGATTAAATCTGGTATACTGACTATTAATTCAATGACAAAGAAGAAGAATTCCGATGGTGTCATTTTTTTATTTAGCTTGCGGGTGTAAAAACAAAATTGCGTAATTAATTTGATTTAGAACTTTCGGGTCTCACAAATAGCTACACGAAATGCATCGTTGAAAAATATTGACCAATCAAATTTTGTCCTTTTTGAGTACATATATGCACCATATATGCGAACGTTCTGATTCAAAGAGCGAACAGCGAAATGGAGAATTGAATGACATCATTTGTCTATCAAATGTCAACATGACCGATTAGCAACAATATTATCTCAATACACATTTACATTATTGACATACATGCATGTCATCTCTGAACCCTGGGGCTTTCCCCGATTTCTGTAAGCCGAGTTTGATGGCATTGGAAATTGAATAAGAATATAAACTGAGCAAACAAAACGGCTGAACTCTTTATTCATCAACCTACCTTTCTATTTCAGAATCTGTTATTGACTTCTGATCCCACTGAAATATGGATGCCCCGAACAGCATATAAATTGGTTTTGTCTTGCCATTCCGCAAGAACGTGTGACCAAATTTTTCAATGACATATTTTATTGTCCTTTCATCATAAATCCTACTGTATAAATTAAATATTTGTGCAGTCCTTCTTAACCTGTGACAGGCTATGAAATTGCATTGATCTGCAAGTTGTTTACTCAAAATCCTTAACTTTTCACTGAAAATATTTTTGGCATGCTCCCATTTTGTTCCATGATAATTTTTCCAATTTTTGACAGCTGTTTTCAAGGCTAAGTTGCCGTCAGATTGAGCCGCCGATTGTCTCAAAATGTTCCTAAACTTCATAAATATACCCTGGTTATTCATTTTAGATGTATGTCACATTAAATTTTATGATAATTGATTAAATATCCTAGGTTTCATAAAGGTCACGAAATGATCGCATGCGTCCTTGACCTTAAAATGTATCTCGTTAGCTCCGAGATTTTGAACGAGACCAGAAAAGCAAACCTAGCAACCAAAAATAATTTGAGGATAAAATACAAAATATTAGAAGAATTAGAAAAGAAATCTGACTGGAGTTGCATTGGAAGTGTCCATGATACACCATGGACCAAATTGGGACTCTGGAAATTTCGTAAGTAACAACCATGAGCTCGAATTTTGACTTTATGTGATTGAAATTCCCCTCGCTAAAAATCCAATATGGCGTCCAAGATCAACAATTTACTTCAAAATCCAGTCTCAAAGTGTTTTATCTCTATGATTGTTTAGAATTATTATTAACATGCCCATAAATGCTGGTTCTGGTGTATGTATAGAACTATATACAATGTTATGTATGTCCAATAATCCAAAAGTGTCACTGTTGTTCAGCGTTCACATGCTAAAAAGTTCACTGGTGATTTTTCATTCTACTTACTTTCTGTCATTCTAGATGGGCCCAAGGTTACAATGGCTCTAATACGCAATACATCAGTAGAGACACAGTGTGCTTTGCATGTGGAAACAATGTCAAGTTTGTCAGTGAAGAAGGGCAAGAGAGTTTCTTCCCTAGCCCTGGAGAGGGCGTTGGGCCCCTTGCTGTACATGCCATCAACAAAGTGTTTGCCTTCAGTGAACTCTGTCTTAACCCCAGAATATTTGTGGTAGATTTCCCAAGCTTCAAAGTGCATTGTGAATTAAAAGGTACACATTTATTTTGTTCTGTATTACATGTACTTTCTTGTTTCTACTACTCATGATCCAGTTTTCCAACCTCCACACATTTTTGTAAATATCAGATTGTTATGTTTTCATACATCTATTTTTCACTTTTTAACATGACATGTACTGAATTATGTATGATCATGGTACAGTAAATTGACCCATTGCAGACACAGATAGATTTATTGCCATGTTTGCCATTTAATCTCTAGGCTATCTCACAGCCACATAGATCTAATGTATAAAATGATAAATCAATTTTCAGATGGAGCACAGTTGGAGTTTTCCCACTTGGCATTTTCGTCCAGCAACTACCTTGTGTCAGTGTCAGGAGTGCCACAGTTTGAACTAACTCTGTGGAATTACCTAGACAATACCAGGCTGTGTACCACCAGTCTGGCACATACCACCCCCACCAGTGTTTCAGTGAACCCTGCAGACTGGAGGAAGATTTGTGTATCAACCAACAATAAACTCACTGTTTGGAATGTTGATCAGAGTAACACTGAATATAAAATTACTCCTACGTAAGTGTTTTTCTTAAACAACAAGCTTGATAAAAACAACAAAGTGCAATACTTAAATTGGTTAATAAGACATAGAAATGGTATGTCATTGATAAATGTAGTAATTTTCACCATATTGTCAGATTTACACTGCAAGTTCCATTTATTTGTGTTCATTGTCACAGGCTGTATTTTATTTTTATTTTAGACTTCAAGTTTTGACTTAAAACTCTGGACTTATAATAGTTCACTTGATAAATGTCCTTGGTCTGCCTTTTTCAACATTGTACAATGTGTATGTTTTAGATGGGACATCTTGTCAGTAAATCATAGCTAATACTATATAGGTAAAGTTCACTTTGGCTAGATATCACAATATCAGACTAGTTCATATACTTAGGCTTTGTTTCTGAAGTTAATATGAAGGAAATTAGTCTGTGTTCCCCCCTGATAGTTCACCTGCCCAACCTAACACAAGACTAGAAGGAAATGTTCAATGTGTTTACTCTGTCACTTGCAGCAATGTGAAGCTTCCTTCTGAGTACCAGACCATACAACCAGAGGAGAAAGAGCGTGATGTCATGACCCGAGCCTCCACTCGCATGTCCAGGGCTGCTGCGTTAGACTTACCAAAGGCAGCCATTGCTGGTTTAGTGGGAGAACTGGCAGAGGATTTTGAAGGATTTGACAATGCAGCTAAGGTTGTACCAACTAGTCATGTGTGGTCTCCTAATGGGGATGTCATCATTGGTTGTAAAGGAGGACAGTTATTAAAGGTAAAAAAAGCAAAAAAAATTCAAAACTAATTCAACATATTTAACATCAAGAAGTAAACTTAATCATTTATTAAATGCTTTGATTGATTATTATTGTTTGTTCAATAGATTTCAAATTAGGATTTATTTCCGAAGTGGAAATTTTGCTTAAAATATGTTCAGGAAATGTTCACAAAGAGGTTGTATTTTATAATGGTGTACCTTGTTCTTAAACAGAAGAAAGCATGTGTCCTTGAACTGTTCTATTTTTTCTTCAGCTTGATGGAGAGTTATATAAGATCAGAGTCCTGTATAATCCAAATGCTGGTAAAACTCAGAATGTTGTCTCTGATAACGCTATCAATGAACTAGAGGGTAAGCTACATATACTCTCCATTACAACATAGATAGCTTGTTAAAATTAGGATAAATGTATGACACATGAACTGTAAAGTGTTATAGCATTGTGATTTAGTTATTTCCGATCATATGTTAGTATATAAATGGTGACTCACTGAGTGAATAAAGTGAAACATATTTTTACAGATGGAATATCTTGTCCACTGACATGTTCTTGAGGCTTCAAGCTATGGCTATAAATAAGCCAATGAGCATTAAGAATATACATGAGTTATATAATAATATCTAATATCATTAATTATGGGGTTATACCATATAAATTGTTTTGTAATTGTGATTAGGATTTAATATGTACATTTGCCTTTGTATTGTTTTGTAGAGGACTTCAATAACATAATAGGTGATGGCTCAATGGACTGCATGGCTTTACACAAAGATGGACTTTACATTGGAGGAACAGTAAGTAACTTAACATTTCAATTGTAAGTGGCCATTACTTAATAGGGCTAGTTCTATATTGTTCAAGTTCAAAGTAAATATAAAATTGTTTGAAATATCCAAAAACAGATGTAAGTATATTTCATGTGATGATGTATTCTTTTTACGATATAGTATTTAACTGACATTTGTACAACATTTGCGTAACGCTATACAGAAATAAAAAAGTGGCCATATTAGGAAATATGACACAAGTGTTCTCTTCAATAGAATGAAATAAAATATTTGAACACTATTTTTGTATCTGACTCTCAGATAAATTGGATAGGTGTACTGCAGATTTCAATATTCAGAATTTCAGTTTGAATAACCATTTTGTGTTTTATAGGATGGTACTCTCCGGTTTGTTGACATCAGTGGTGATGAAATGAGGTTCATAGAGAGCTATCCCTTGGGTGTGGCCATATCTACCCTTGGCTTCAATACCCTCTACAACAAACTGGCAATAGGATCTCCTAGGGTAATGGAACTTTTTTCTTATATTCTAACAATTGTTTGTTAAATTCTGAGACTCTATTTAGCAGTGAAATATTCATTTTTCATGTTTATCATTCATGCGTTGGAATTGTTCAGTTTCATCCACTTATATGCATAATAGTCAGTAATACATATTTTAGCCTGATTAGGCAAGCAAAAAGATTTCAGGGTATGGAAAAGTATATTTTTTATTTTCGTTTTACATCATTACAGGGAACCTTGCATCTCTATGACCCATCAGACCCTGGGAATATGAAAGAGTGTTTTGATAATCACTATGGTAACTTTGTGGCTATAAGCTGCCTGACTCCAGGAACAGAGCAGTGTGTGACGTGCCGAGAGGACGGGGAAGTACAGGTCTGGGATGTAGCTACAGCTAAACTACTCTCTACAATGCCCATAGGGGTCGCAGTAAGTCTAACCTGATATATGCTTGCATAGTGACCTAAGATAGCTCATTGTTTTCAGGAGAGCTCATTTTAGTTAGGATACCTCCTTGTATTCAAGTTAGCACAATGTATTCAAGATAGATAATTGAAATCAAGATACCTTGTTGTATTCTGAACAGTTCATTATATTTGTTTTTATTTCAGCATAGCTAAAGTTTATTATGACCATAAATATGACCAATTTAATCCAGCCCATGCTATGGATGCCTCTCAGGGACTATTTCCACGTTTTTAAACATTGGAAGTTAATTTTTTGTTTTTGACTTTCAGGCAACCTGTTTAGCCAGCAGTCCATTGTGCCACATAGTGTGTATAGGAACATCTAGTGGATTCTTGTACGTGTGTGACTTCAACAAGTTAGACAGCCCACGAATCATACACAGAGTTAGGCTGCATAATGGACCCCTTAAACACATTGTGTAAGTTTTCTAAAAATTTCTAATGATCACTTTTAAAATCAGTTGATTTCAGTAGTTAATTAGTTAATGCCTTAAATGTTCATTCATGCCTTGCACAATGAATATCATATTCTATCATCGCTCGATAGATAGACCAATAACATTTTAATAATCCTCAATTTGTGAGAAAAAGTCCCAATGGCATGATATACAATATTTACCTGCATGATTAAAAGGCCCAGTAGCATGATATATATTTACCTGTATTTCATATAACTTTTAGGTTTGATGATGATGGCAAGTACATGTTTACAGCTGGAGATGATGGACATGTCATCCTACTCCATGCTAAGCCATCCAAGGAATTCCAAGCTATTGGTCATACAGGTAGAGTATTTAACTTATACAGGTTGTGTATTCAACTAAAAAATTGAACTCAAACAGGTCAGGTATTTAACTCAAACAGGTAAAAATGCATTTACAGATTTTCTTCAGATTTGTACACATATCGGGTACCAAGTTTTATAGCTAATTTACTTTACTTTTTATAACTGATTAACCTTCTTTTCTGTTGGCTATTTAAGAAACGTTTAATGAATCTTGTCATCATCATCGCCATTCTAAGAAAACCGCTTATCAGATTTTTTCAAATTTTTGCATTCTTGGTGTTCAGATTTTGTTAACGCAACAAAAATTTAGGAGGCCGATGATACTTTGAAGATCTCTCAGCGAAACTTTTTTGCATCTATACAGTTGATCAATCAAATTTTTTGCCTTGTCCAGTTTATCAATTGGTAACCTAGCTTCCTGTTGAATTGAATCCAATTCAATTCCCGCAAATGACATGACGTGCCTTGTTATCAGTATTAAGGTTTGACATTGATAAAAAAAGAATGTGTCATCTGGTCTATATTCAAAAAAGCAATTAACACTAAGGGGGTTAAAAGAAATACTACTGTTAAACACATTTACTGTTATTATATTTTACTGTTTATGTGTATTGTAGGTATCGAGGGAGATGTGAATGCTATCAGTGTACACAAGGTTGAGGCAGGATGTATTAAGGTTATTGTCACATCTAACACGACTGAAAATAAGCGTTCAGGAGCCAATAAACTGATTCAGTTTGACATCAAGGATGAGATGGTGAATGGTAAGTGTGGGACAGAGAATCAAAGTGGAAAATATCTTGAGTTGAGTTAGGGCCAAGTCATTTTATGTCACCACCACAAGTGAACTTATCGAACGACCTGGTGTTGTTATAGTCTCTTACTTTTTTGTGGATGGTGTTTGCTGTTGGCAGTTGGTGTTCGTTGATCGGCATTGGGCATCTGTAACAAATGGTAGGTGGTGACATTTTGCATGTTAATGTCTTGTATATGATCCTTGTACTTCACTCCTTTAAGTGGTTTCAATTAAAATAGGTGCTGTATGTGTTTTGACAAATGATTCATTAACAGGGTTGTAGAAAAATGCTACCTTTTCAAAGTATACTTTGTATAGTTTATCATGAGCAAAACATAAAAATATTTTCCTCTTTCAGAAATAAGTGGACATAGAAATCTTAAGTGTTTACTTCGGGAAGAGTCAATCAAGAAAATCTCATCAAACTTCACTGTTCCTTGTCATGGAGCTGCATTGACTGAGGGAGGAATATTCTATACACTGGAGCAAAACACCAAGAATATTCTCAAGATCAAACTACCCACTGAACCACCCAAAAAGGTAAATAATACATCTCACAGACAGAAATTATTACGATGCAGAGTTTCTGATGTAAAAGCAACATTAGTGAAGCAATTCCAATTGAGAAAATATGTTTGAACAACTATCATTCTTTAAGTGCCTAAATTTGAAATGGGAAAATAATAAAATTAGAAGTTGAAAAAATCATTAAATGCAAACATTCAAATGAAAAATCTAAAATAATTAATGATTCAGTCCCTGTTTTCGCTCTTTTAACATGTTAAAACTTCCTTCTTAGAAAATAAAACCTACTTCACCAAGTAGACATGGAACTCATGGTACTCATAGAGCAAGTACCTATAGAATGAGTAGCCATAGGAGAAAGGAGTCAATAGAGGATGAAGTAAATCATAGATTAAGCTATTTATGTTTAGTTTATTGTTTAAATCAGGGGTCCATTACCAGAATAACCTCATTGCTATGTATGATTCGCCTCAATTCTATTCTTGTATCTGACTTCATAGTTAGGAGTTGCAATTTCTTAACTTCAAAAACTTTCCTGGTAATGTACCCCTTAATAACAGTAATAAGGTCTTCTTGTATTTAATGAAATATCTTGTCAAAATATGTACAGTTGGCAGGAAAGGTGGGAATAAATCAGGTAAGGGAAACCATAGGTAAATCAAAACTGGTGTATTCCTTCTGTCATATGAAAGGTATTTATGGATCGAGATGTATAGGTAAATGACATCGGGGTGTTATATTGCTTACTCGTATAGTGAAGCTTCTTTATCAGGAGATCACATTGCCTCACAAAAACCATCTAATCATGATATGTACAATAACTATTTTCACATATCTATTTGCAAGCTACAATTTACTTCATCCAGAGTGAGTGAGTCTTAAAAATGAATTTGGATCCAATCTTTTTGTATTCAAAATGATAATTTTGACAAAAGAACTCTTTATTTATATATTCTATGTAATCTCCAAGAATTTATTGAAATCCATGTAATTAATTTCAGGCAATGAGTAAGGACTCATTCTTGGTGCCAATTAGTGAGACCCCAGGCCATCAGTTGCCTGGGGGTAGAATCACAATGTCACCTCATAAGAAGTGGATATCCTCTGTTGGAACTGATGGAATGTTGAATGTCAGAGCAGTAGGAAATATGGTACATACTCTACAATCTTTTCATTTCTACAACTAACTACATTGATGATAAACTAATTTTGCTGTATATTTTTTCATGAATTTATGAGTTAAAACTGTAAAATTATTACATTTTTCAAATTCGGTTTTCCAATACTGGAGGTTGTTCACTTTTGATTCTATTGAATCTTACACAATGAGTCTGTTAATACCAAACAAGGCTTGCTCTAATGATCAAGAAGTGAAAAATATCCTTCAATTTTATTTAGCATTTTTATCAAATCAGGGGAAATAAGTAGTTAAAGATGAGAAAATTATTTTAACATGACAAACTCAGATGCAAAAATACAATCTATCCAATGAGATTTGACTTTTTAATGACACCTTGAATTCAATCATTTTTTCCTTATTTTGCATTACAGGACAGTCCCTTGACAGTTCATGCTCATGACTACCGCCATGGTGGTGTCCATTGTAGTGAGTTTAGCAGAGATATGCAGCACAACTTTACAGCTGGATATGATGGTGTCCTATCCTGCTACAAATGGAAGTAAGTACTCCTCTTCATTAAGCTTGAATTTAAAATTCTTTATATCTGTGCATGGTGTTTGTCTTATGCATACATTTAATACATGCTTTGACCATTGATTTTTGTACATCTTAGATTGCAGTGTGATATACACATTATACAGAAGTACCCATACAAGTTGCAATCTTTTTTCCAGTCTTGCACCTTCTGGTATCGCCAAGGCAAAGTCAGCTGTAGACGCTTCTAGGAATCGTCATAAGGCGATGTTGGCAGAAGAGCAACGTGAAGATGAAATCATTATGAACTTACCTGATTGGGCACCTGCTTCCGGGTCATCACGACCTCAGACAGTCACAACTAAGGAAGAACGGGTAAGCTTAAAATGTATTTCCTAGAATACACATAACACATTTAGCTTTCAATAATTTCATGTCTTCAAGTAGTGAACAAAAAACAATTTTCTTATTGTGTCCATAAATATTCTATATCCTTTTCTGTATTATATCATATTTTTGGGTTGCATAATGCAAATGGATTGATTAAAATGATCATATTCTATTTTAAGACAAAATGGTGTCAATGTATTTCTCTTTTCTGAATTCTGTATTAAAACTATTAGATACATCTCTCTTTTCCCCTTCCTCGTGTTAATTTTAAACACTATGGGTGGATTCACTTTCCACCAGGCTAAAGTGACCTTGTCACATCAGGATATATATTAGATTTAATTCTGTGTTTAAAATAAACTCTTCCCATATTTCACATTCTCCAAACAAAAAATTCAGACATCATAAACTCTAATCCTTGAACAGGTTGGATGTTGATGTCTGAAACCTTGCAATTGGAGGATGATATGTCATATCTGTGATGGTATATGTACATGTATTTGAGCTTTCTTTATTCCATCCTTTAGTTTCCTGATAAAGCAGAAGTAGGTGGTTCAATGCACAGATTGGACTGTTGTTTAATATTATTTCATATTTTTCATTTATGTCATCTAATATTGTTATGTTAAGTTTGTTGGAATGTTCATTTTAATTGTTATGACACACAATTTGTTTTGACTCATACATGTACAGGGTGGGCCAAAAAAAACCACCCCCCTAGCTATTACTCCTGATAAATATTTATTTTCTAACATGTATACCAACAATGATATATCATTTTAAAGATAATTTAATTTGCAACAAAATGATAGTAGCCGAGACAACACAAGTCCCAAGTCTGTATTTTTACTCTCATTCCATCACTTTTAAGAGTTAAGTCACCACATTTTGCATGCATATTCCTTGCAGAAATCCTAACATAGAATTTTATTGGTTTTGATTATAACTTATTTGTTGAAAATAGAGAAACATTTGATTCTGATTGGTCTATAATCAAAATTTGCCATTTTCAGCGACAAATGCATTACTTTAACTTTATATAAAAAATCACTACTTTTGGTGTAATAATTCCAAATTGACCACATGTTTCCTTTTTCAGCAGAAGTGTAACTATTTTGGGGTAATTGAGACATATCCGAGAAAAATGGTATGCAGAAACATGATATTTGAAATAAAACGGGGCCAAAAAGGACCCCTGAAGATGCCTGCATTATTTGAGATTTTTTGCGTGTTTTAATTTCCTGAAAAATGGATGGGGTAGGGGAGTGGCATACCCTTTGGGCTTATTCCAGTAACCATTTTAATCAAATGAATGATGACATATTTGGTATCATCTTAAAGCTTGTAATGTGTGCGTTAATTTGGTACCCGTATTATGACGTCAGATGCTATATTGTGATGTCACAGTAGAAACAAACGATCTTAAAGGGGAAATTAAGCATCAAAATGCCGCAAAATAATGGTGTGACTCCACCACTGTTTTGCCAATTCACTGCTTGCCACAATCAATGAATGCATTTCTCATTGAGGTACTCTTCCAATGCATGATCTGATGACTGGCAAAAAATATCTAGGATGATAGTTATTGTCAATAAGATTAGAGACACCATATTGTATCTATCATTTATAACTTCAATTTTTATTAATGATGTCAAAATGTTGCATTTGTTACACAAAATGGATAATTCTGATAATGGACCAATACAAATCAAATGTTTCTCTATTTTTAACAAATAAATTATAATCGAAACCAATAAAATTCTATGTTAGGATTTCTTCAAGGAATATGCATGCAAGATATGATGACTTAACTCTTAAAAGTGAAGAAATGAGAGTAAAAATACTGACTTGGGACTTGTGTTGTCTCGGCTACTATATAATAGAACAATTTTCAACAACCCTGGCTCGAGATATAACCATTTATGTGACATGGGGGTCAAAAAACACCTTTTCAATTTTCATCGATTTTGTGAACAATAGCCCATTTCTACCAAATTTTACTGTTCAGTTCAAAATTGCAACATTGTCATGAGTCTTTCATAATTGGATATTATATATTGTTTTCATTCAGTTTTTGAACCATTCATGCTCAATAAACGTGTATGCTTATAAAAGAAATTAATTTCTTCTTAAGTCTGTCCAAATATGGCTCAATAGACCCACCCCCCGGACCAATCCTCTGATCGGATTATTCGCTAAAGACGCGAAAGCCATTCGTATAATTGATGGATCTCTGTGGAAGTACCATCGGACTCGTAATTATTCATTCTTTCAGTTTGTCTACATCCCTGATAGGCTAGTGATCTTCATAGACCAACTAAATGCCCCAAGTACTATACATGTAATCAACAGAAAAGACTCTATATATCAGTAAGCAAGAATAGGGACATTTGCGATAAAAGGCTACTCAAATCGAGATGACATTTTTCTGAAAGGGTAGTGGTGTCCACTCGGTGTTTCCCAAAAAGGAAAGACCGTACAGGCCCTGTTTTTGTTGAACCAGGAGCAAAAATATACTCTGAATGTTAATGACATGAGGTGTTAAAAAGGACTCCTCAAGGATATAAAAAACATGTAAAAGAAATTTCATTTTCTGATAGGAAAGTGCTTCATCACACAGGTTCAATGCTACCCTGGAGTTTTTGAAGATTCAAAATGACACCATCTCTAGCCCGGACAAATGGCTTACTGGCAGTCCAGATGCCAATTATGTTGATTACCACACCTGGGGGTATTTAGAAAGCTGGTATTTAAAGATACCCAGCCTATCAGGGATGTAGAGGAACTAAAAGAAAGAATAACTAGCAGTTGAATGGTACTTCCGCATACATCCATCAATTATGCCATCAACCAATGGCTTCCACGTCTTAAGCGAATAATCCGATCAGAGGATGGGTGCGGGGGGTGGGTCTATTGAGCCATATTTGAACAGACTGAAGAAGAAATTAATTTGTTTTATAAGCATACACATGTTTATTGAGCATGCATGGTTCAAAAACTGAATGAAAACAATATATAATATCCAATTATGAAAGACTCATGACAATGTTGCAATTTTTAACTGAACAGTAAAATTTGGTAGAAATAGGCTTTTGTTCGCAAAATTGATGAAAATTGAAAAGGCGTTTTTTGACCCCCATGTCACATAATTGGTTATATTTCTATATGGGGTTGTTGAAAATGGTGCTATTATATATCATTTTGTTGCAAATTAAATTATCTTTAAAATGATATATCATTGTTGGTGTACATGTTAAAAAATAAATATTTATCAGGAGTAATGGCTAGGGGGGTGGTTTTTTTTGGCCCACCCTGTATATTGATTTCAGTTTTTACTTTGATATTACATACACATTATTTTAAAACTCTGCACATTATGGTTTTGTCGTGGAAAGTGACGAACATATTGAATCAATTTTGCATCACATTTTGTTTTTATCATATTTATGTGTTTTGTGCATTAAAATTATTTACTGAAAATAATTAATGATTAAGTTCACTAGACATATATATATGTAAAACAAAACTTGGATTGCAGGTGTAATGTTCTTTCTGAACTGATCTGAATCAAGTTTTAGCTAAGACTATATATACATGTACAGGTATTATACAAATATAAAATTCCCTCAATAATATTGATTACAATCTACTGTACATGTATATCTGGTTCACACTTTTGATTTATATTTTGTTGAATATTTGTGGTATTCTTTAATGTTTAGAGCCAGGAAACTAACATTCTTGTGATAAAAAAGTGTAAAAACCTTGAGAATGGAATAAAATAGTATGAAAAAACTGAGAAGTCGCTCAATCGAACTGTCAAAAACCTTGAAAACTCAAATCAATGACCAAAAAATAATGGATTCTAAAAACTTAATTAATTATAATCAACTTTCAGGAGAAAATTGAGAAGGAGAATGCTATAATAAATGACACAATCTACACAACCCCTACACCAACCCCTGAGTCTGATGCCACCTGGGTGGAGGTGAAGGAACTAGAGGCTATTAAAGAGGAGGATAAAGAATATGCAGATGTTAAGAAACAGTTAAGAACTGAGATCAGAGATATAAGGAGAACAGTAAGAGCATACCTTCAATGATTTGTAACTGTGACTCTACACACTTAAAAGTTAAAAGAAAATGTAGGGTAGAGCACTTGCCCAGTTAGCAAGGGATCATGGGCTTGATCCATACTGGTGTAGACCGACATTTTCAAATCAATCCATCGTGCACAACTTCATTAATCATTTGTTTCTGAGTGATTTCAAACGTTGTTCAATAAAAAAATCCTTGGTTTGAAATTGATCTCAATGTGTCCAAAAGGAGATTAATTGTTATTGTTATTCCTACAGATCCAAGATATGATGAAGTCTAATGAGGTGGTAGCAGACATCGAAAAACTGGGTCACCATGAGTTTGACCTGGATGTTCAAGAGCAGAAACGTATGCAGGAAGAGGGGGAAGCACAGATCAGACAGGTACTGTGCTAACGATACACAATGACCATCCCTACATATGACCAGCTGGCTGCTGTAGCCTGTTAGGAGTTACGAGCTACTCTGTTATTGAAAATATCGGCAAGCACACAAGCAAAATATAAAATATTTTTTTCAAATCAGGTTCAATTAGGGTGAAGCACCTTGCTGAGAATAATATATTAATATTTTTATAATCATGTAAGCTATTAAAATATTGAATGTATATGTTTGAATGATGTATACTGTATGTTGTAGATTGTTGAGGAGATTGAATTGGAGAATTTAGGGATGATGTACTTGAAAGATGTCATCAAGAAGGAATGCTGGGATGATATGGTTGTCAAAGGCAGAGCACTGGAGGTTGGTTCTAAATCTTTTTCAATATATACAGTTTACTAGTATGTTATAAATTAAATGGAAACACCATACAGCATTTGTGTTTTGCTGTGTTTTGTGTCATAAATTCTTTTCTGTATGTTTCATAAATTGTACATATAGTAATGACTTTTTAGTTGAAACATCATTGGAAGAACTGAATGTTATCTTAAATAGTACATAGTAACTAACCAATTGATGAAACGATGGTCCATACTGGTGATAAGATTGCATCACTTCTTTTGTACAGTCATAGCACATGGCTTGATGGTGGATTTGAATCTTAATTGATACCTATATTGGTAACATGATATCTTATGATATAATCATTTGTAGAGTTTTAATGGGATCCTGGAAGTGGCAAACTACCCAATGAGAGAGAGAGATCCTGCTGTATTAGCTGAACTAGAGAGAGTCACAAATGCCAGAAGGATAGAATTCGAGGAACAAAATGTAAGCCCACAATAAATACATTATCATTAATTCATTTTCTGTTCTATAGTGAGAGTCTTGAAAAAAAATCTTAGAAATTGAAACTATGAAAATTTGGATATTGAGGGAAATTAGATTACTGGTAGTGGTAACCTCTTGTTGCTGATGTCATGATCATGTGATCTCTGCTTGGGATTGATCATTCTTGCCAATTATGATTACATCTTGTTGTCCCTATTTCTTGCTGTCTCTGCCAACTTTCATATTCTCATGAACTTTGAATATTCCATTTACTTGAATTATATGTGAGTGTATGCTATTATTTTAGACCAGAAGAGAACTTGTGGACAATCTACAGAAACCAACTACCAACACTGGGGTAAGTGTCCTGAATTCTTATATCTTCTATAAATAAATAAATAACACAAATCATAAGGATTGTTCTGAGTTGTAAACAACTTGTTAATTATTCAATTTTATGTCACCACAACAATGGTGACAAATTGTTACGGTCACCAACTTTTTGTTGATGGTGTTCGGAGTTTGGTGGTTGGCATTTAGAGTTTGGCATCTGTAACAAATGGCAGGTAGTGATATTTTGCATGTTAATGCCTCATTGCATTTGTAGTTTTCTAACTGATGAGCTTCTATTTTAACATGCACAATTTAATGTACTGTAAATAGAATTATGAAATGTTTCACAGCTGCCACTGTCACGAGCAATCCAGGAAAAGTTTAACCTAGCACCACCAGATGCAGTAAGAACCTGTCTTAATTTGTAGGCTTTTTGTTGTAGTATGGCTTGCTTAGAAATTCTACCTTTGCATAATTTACAAATATGTGGATTACAGGGAATTTATTTATCGCAGTAGATAGGCAGATTTTCTATTTTTGAATATATGAATGTCCATGTTTTGCAAATTAATAGGATGAATTGAATTTGATAAAATTGACTATTGCAGGTAACAGAGATCCAAGTGATAGAGGTTTCTCATATGGGATTATTATTTTTATTTATGCAGTATCGCTTCAGCATTTGTATGCATTGAAAAATGTGCTTTTTGAATGATGTTTATTTCATTTTATAGATTTTTCCATTTTATTTTAATAAATTAGTTTAAGACCTGTGGTGCAAAATTTCATGTGCATTTTTACATATATTTTTACAAATTCTCGAAAGAAGAAAGAATTTCCCAACAGAATTCTCTAGATTTGTGACAAAATCATGGAGGAACTGGGTTTAGTGCATGCTTCTGCTTTAGTATTATACACTGTGTTCCGTATCTTCTCAACCTTTGCCTTATGCCTAGCTCACATAAGCTCCGATTCATCAGCCAGCACTCAGCCGATTGAGAATTATTTTGTTAAAAAATGAATGCAATTCTGAACAAAATGCTCAATCGGCCAGGCACCGGCTAATGAATCATAGCTTATATGATCAATTACATTTTATTGATTTGGCCACATTTCTTAAATGGGTATGAGTTAATGAATACGGACGTGTTTTAGCAGGATTAGCTTCATTATGTCTGAGTTAAACCAGATGTGAATGTTTTGGTAGGACTAGCTTCATTTAAACGAGTAATTCCAACAGCAATGTAAGACAATTTTATTTAGAAATGATTTTAATGTGAGATGGGTGAGTCAACTGAAAACTCATATTCCAATTTTGCCATTGAATATCATGAATTTAAGATATAGATTCTAGATTTACACCAAGCTTGCGAGATTAATGCGAAATTAGCATGTTTTATGATTCATGTTTGATCCAAGTTCATTGCGAATTTAGAATCTTCTGAGTGCTTGCTTGTGTATAGGATTTCTGATAGTTGTATGTAAGTAAGCATTTTGCAGAACCTCTATTATAATTAGTAAATTGTGTTAATATTATTTTCAGCCTGCAGATGATGATTTAGCAGATGGGGATGAAACAGAGGAGGACACTGGGGAGAAGCCATCAACGAGTGGAAGCTTTGGTGAGGAATTTGTTTGTTTTTTGTTTCGTTTCAGCTATTTTGCATTATTTGTGTGTATGTTTCAAGACCAAGAATCAGTCATCCAGCTGAATGATATTACTGTGGAGAGTCATTTTGTCTCTCTGATTATTAAAAACTTTTTCAGAAAAAGTTATTGTAGCCCTGAATCTGGAGAGATTACCAATGTGTATGTGTTTCAGTTGTTTCCGTAATTTTAAGCCCTATACCCTTTGCTGCCATTTAAAGCAAGGCTGGACAAAATACACTATTCAGAGTATTCTGTTTCTGTATCCTTATATATTGAAACATAATAGGGATTTGATGGACACTTGAGGGTGGATTATTAATTTCTCCCTCAGGTTCAGCCTTAACAGAAATTGATAATTATCGTTGAAAATATTGATGATGCATGCTGTTAGGTCCTGATATAAATTGTTTACTGCATGTATTTGTGCTCGTTGAATTCCCCATAAATTAAAAAGTGGTGTGTTTCATATAAGACTAGCGTACCTAAACCCTTTTATGTTAGTCTCAGGTTTGATTGACATGTAATGTATTTAATGTACCCACGATTAATTCACTCCTAAATTGTATACTTCCCCTTGCCCACCCTAGATGGTTATAACGATGATGTTGGTAAGCGGTTTCTAATTAGTGTAACATTTTCACAAATTCACTCTTGATATTGTAACAGTTCACTCTGATTCAATAAATGTATTGTATTTTTGTAATGTGTGCACTTAATCAAGGTAGCGGTTTATGGTACAACATTTCATATTTATGAATTATGTATGAGCTTTTTCACAGATTTGAACATGGTTGTACTATAGACATTATAAGTTATTGAATGATTTGAAGTGCAATACAGGATATATTCTGCTCGAGAAATTCTGTATTGGCACGAGACGAAGTCGAGTGCCAATACAGAATATCGAGACAGAATATATCCTGTATTGCACTTCAAATCATTCTATAACGTTTTTATCGTGTGATCCTCTGTATTGCTACTGAGAATGTCCCCTCCGTACCAATATTTTCTGTATTGCGACGGAGATAATCAATGGGGACAATCTCAGTAGCAATACAGGTTGGTACAGCACAAGAACTGACCAATCAGAGGGCTTCATTTTACAGATCATACGATAAATATAATGTATTGTATTATTAATGTCTAAGCACAATTAAGGGTTCAAATCTTTAATTTGAGAAAATCGATTCAGTTATATTGATATAGATAAGCCTGGAATCTGCAATATTTTGATGATTTGCCTGATGTGGTGTATATACAGGATGACTCATAAATGTTATTCAAAAATTAGAGTTGCATTTGGGTCACCCTGTATTGAGAAATTCAGCTCAATATTGCAGGTAACAGAAATACATTTTGAAAAATGTGAGCAGAAATGACTGAATTTCACAGGAATATTTTTTAAATTGATATATTGTCTGCTTGTTGTTTTGTGAAACAGAATCTATGATTGGGTTCCCAATACATGAACTAAAAAGAATATTTTCTCTATATATTCTCACTCAGTCTGGTAAACTATTTGCCCTTGGGACAATAAATATTTCCTTTACAGCAAGGGATTAAATGAAAATATTGTGTGTATAGTATATTTGTGACACTGATTGTATCTGTTGTTTTCTGTTCAATAAATGTACTGGCACTTGCTAAATGTATGTTTAAAGTCTGGCTTTACTTTTTAGCATTTGACTATTTGGTCAAATTAAAAAGTAGTCAAATTAAGCACAGGGTTGTATGATCAATTTAACATGTAATTAGTTTTAAAGCCTTCACCTGTTAAAACACTTTAATATTTGCATGGGGACTCTAGAAAGTCCATAATTTATATGAGAAACCTTGGAGGTATGTATAAAGTCATATCACGTGTCCATTACTCCTTGAAGCTGAAACAGTGCATGTATTATGTCCAAATATAATTCCATTTCATAGTTATGCTTCAAGGAACATTACTGCAACAACTATATATTTTGGTTTCAGCTGAGCAATTTGGAGGTGGCAATGAGTTGTTCTATAGCCAGTTTGAACTTCATTTAAGACACCAAAAAGTCAACCAAATTGTACTTTTGGAGGTAAGTCAAGATTCTTTTAATATTTCACAGTAAAACCTATGTAAGTGGAACGTGTTTGGTACCTTAAAATAAAATAGGGGGGGGGGGGTGTTCCAGCTACAGAGGCTCACTTAATATGAAGTTATTATGGGTAACTAATGGACTTTTTAAGTGTTCCACTTACGTAGGTGTTCTACTGACAAAAGTGTTCCTCTTTATTTTTATTGTTTGGTGAGATTGAAATTAAGCAAGGTAGCTTTGTATATGGTTTGAACATAATAATAAGTAAAAAAAAAATAAAAACTAAAAAAATGTGGTAATGTGAATATAAAGTGCATTAGATGGATTTGATGGGAAGATAATTAGTACATGTATCTGGCTTGTAAATTTAGTACATGTATCTGGCTTGTAAATTTAGTACATGTATCTGGCTTGTAAATTTAGTACATGTATCTGGATTGTATTAAAAGCAGTATCTGAATTTTGACTGGAGCAACGAAATAAACCAATTTGAGGGACTTTGTCGCGTTGTCAACAGGAAAGTATCCACAGTCCTTTTGTAAGAAGTTTTATTAAGAGTCAATAAAAGTATATTTATCAAGTATAGTAATTATTATTATGATGATATTCTTCCAGGATGCCATTCATAGAATCAAGGAAGCGTATAACAAGGAATTCTCCGGGGTCTTCGATAAAAAGTTAAATGAAATTGCCAAAATTAAAGAGAAAAATAAGAGAATCCGTAAGATCCTCAACGACCTGAATCTGCTAGATCAGCTGAACGACTTCAATGATCCTGAGGTTGGAATGCTGGAGAGACCAGAGCAGCTTCTTATTGTCAATGACGAGGAGGTAAAATGATCTTGATCTTCATTTTAATAAAATCTATTATTTTATCAAGTTCCTTCTTGAAAATACCATTGATGAAGAACTTGAAAAAGCGTACCCCATTTCTAATAAACACTAAGCTATTTCAGCAAAATAATTATAGAAATATCAAGTGAGTTAAAGAATGAAATCAGTCAGAATATTTTCTTTAAACAATCTGTGAAAGAGTTATAAAGCTGTATGCATTAGTATTTCCAGTATTTCCAATATTTTAATATTGTACAAGCATTCGATTTTGGATTTTGGAATGTCATAAAGCTATGCGGTCAAAAGTAATCTTAATACTTTTTAGTGAAAATGCATTTATATTTTTAAAATGCAGAATCTTGCGAATGCAAAATCCTCGAAATCCGATCACCTCCACATCTGAATGTTTTTTTTAACTGGTCATGGTGTTTTAACTGGTCATGGTGGCATTTGGATTAGACAGATATTACTGTATAAGTATTAGACAGATATTACTGTATAAGTATAATAGTATTACTGGAATTCCAAAAATCATAACGCCTACAATGCTAGTAATATTAAGTGAAAATGCATTAATATTTTTTCAAAATCAAGAATCTTTCGGATGCAATTTATTTGACTGGCCTTCAGTGTAGGCAGCCAGTTTTTGGTGTCTGAAACGAATGGTAACTAGTTTGTAATCATTTGCATTTTCTCATGTTAATGCCTTAAAGTTAGGACGTCAATTTAGTGTGCTCATTCATATATTTCGGCATGCTTCAAATGATAGTGATTACATTTAATAATAACAACTATAAATTTCAGGTTAAAATGGAAAAACATTTGACTGCTGAGGAGAGAAAGAAGGTTGAGGAATATCAGCGTGCTGAGGCTGAACGTATAGCTAAAGAAAAGGGAGATAATGCCAGGGAGAGAGCTCTGGACATGATGATGGGCGGAGTTTTAGAAATAAAAATGGAAGATGAGTTGAAAAAGGTCAGATGATATTTCCATCCAGTCAAAGCTTTTTTGTTAAAATTTGAACAGCCCTGTCATAACTTTTTGTCATATTTTCTCTCCAAAGCTGAATTTTCTCAGTTCCAATGTCCCAAAAATCTAATTTAGTTTCATGTGAATTCTGCCATTAAGATTCGAATAAGTGTTTATACCTAAGAGTTGATTAAAAAAATCTCATCTTGTATCTGTTTAAGAGTACCAATAATCATTTCTAGCAATTTAAATCACCATTTTAACAAAAATGTTTTTGTACATGTTAATTGTTGATATTTATCTGATGGGGATACATAAAATGCATATATTTATCTTACAGAACATATTCATTAATTTTTACTAACTAATACGTAATATTTTTGCTGAATGATAAATTGTAATTTTATCTGCATATTTGTTAGGCAACATACATGTTCAAGCAACTTCAGTGTCTTGTAAGTGATCTCAGGCATGTAAACCAACATCAAAAACCTCACTATTCAAGCATGATTGTTTTACTCATCTAAAATGGACCAGATATTTAAAGATTATGAACTGAGGAGGGGGAGGGGGGGGCATGATTTTCATTCAAAGGGACAATATGGTAATTTTTGATAAGTAAGGGATCAAGTGCCTCAAGTGTCAATATGATATTACCATTGTCAATTTTTTATTGTGGGAGGAAAAATATCAATCACAAACTACATTTACCATAAAGATTCAATGGTCATTTCCCAGTATTTCTCAGTCAATAAAATTAAGAAAATTTTAATTCTCGTTATTTCCCTTAAGTATCATACAAATGCAGGTCTCCAGGATTATGCTCTTGCGGTCTTCCATGAAGTGAGCTTGTGGATTATAGCACAGTTTCTGTACTTCTGGAGTTCTTCATTTTCAGTCAAGAACTATACCTATTGGGGCTGAACATATGCATTACTAGTATCACGTCTAAATGAAGTTGAAATCCATGTATAGCATTTAACATTAAGAATATACACTTGTAAAACATATTGTTGTATGCATGTATCATTTAAATATGTATTCACACATGTGCACATAACATTTTATTAATGAATGCAAAGAATACAATACAGCACACAACGCATCACAGAGTCAATCACCTGAGCTTACAGCATTCATTTTTTTCTTTTTTATTTCTAATTTACTAAAACAAGATAACATTGGCCACATCAAGAAAAAAATTGACATGAAAAATTAAGAATTCCTTGAAAGATTTTAAAATGACATATCTGAATTAACCAAGAAGCTTTCATTGAATCATAATCCACAACCATTTTTGGAGCCATCCTGAATTACATGTTCAAGCTATATGCTGCAGAAGGAGCAGATAAAATTAGCATGAATTTAACCATCATATTGTTTGATTTTTACTAAGAATGTCCAAATGAAGTGAAACAATTCTATACATACTGAGGTGCAATATTAAAGTGAATATCGCATTTGCTATATGCAATGTAGTTCCAGTTGTATTGTGTTTATCGCAATCTCTCATTTTGAAATGTTTTTTTGTAGGATGTCCCAAAGCCTGCCTTCATGTCACAGAAGCCTGAGGAGGAATGGTCGGAAGATGATCTCAAGATGGTGGCGGAGTATGAGAAAAAAGTACAAACCCTCAATGAAGAAAGAGAGAAATATAAAAAGGTATGGCAACGAATTCCATGTGTTATATGGACTTTTCATTGAGTTTGTCTCGTCCAATGCCCATATCCATTTTATGAGGCTTCAAACTAGTTATTATTTATACCATTGGTCCTAGCTCCTACTTTTCACTTGTTTTGGAGTTATCATTCTGAGTAATTCTGAACCATTGCACATATCCTTGCTATTAGGTCTATACTGGTAACTTACACAATTGGTCCTGTATGAAAATATGAAAATTTTTATATTTTACTTTTGTATGTTTGTTTGCAGCAACTGGAGTCTGAGTTGAAGAAGTTACAACTGCAGATCACAGAGACCATGGAGACTTTTGACCAGTGGCTCAACAACTTGTTCACACGCAAGATCAAAACTGAGATGTGTGTTTACCAGGAGGAGCTCAAAATAGTCAGGTAAGGAGCAGGGAGGGGGTATAATTCTTCATTTATACAATTCTCAATTTTTATTTCAGATTATTTTACTTGAATAGTTAAAAAAATTAACAATGTAAAGTACAGACGCCGATGTGTAAAATTTTAAAATCTGAAGTCCATCAATAAGTTTTACTAACATTGTGATTACAGAAATCCACTTGTTTTACAGTAACTTAATATGTAGAATTGTTATGATAATAATGCTATTATTTATTTCTTATGGAGTTGCACTGGTATTTCAGATTGAGGTACAGTTTAATGGTGGAGGATGAGTTGAACTCACGAGAGGCAGAACTAATGAGGCTGCTCCATCATAAGGCTGAATGCAAGGTAAACATCAATGACTCATACATTGCACTACATTTGCCACTTTGTCAAAAATAAACCCAAAAACAACTATTATTCTGCAACCTTTGATATGTGAATGTTTAACTTACTTGTGTTGATTTTAGATACGAGACATTACATGACAGATACAGTATTGGAGCACATTAAAAAGAGCATTATAATATACACACAGTTTTTAAAAACATTTGTCTAACAGTCTTAAGAATATAGTCTTGCTAGTGTGGACCTCCCCCTATCTACTTCACCAACATAGCAAAGCAAAACTAGCTAAGTCGTTTGCTGTAATTTCAGGAACTTGCTGCTGAGGCGTGCAACATCTCTAAGAAAAATTATGATGAGTTCCATGAACAGTATGACATCCTCACTGCTGAGGATAAGGTCATGGACAAAGCATTCAAGAGGGAATTCAATGATGTCACAGCATTACAGGTTGACCAGCTATACAAGCTCTTCAGACGCAGGCCAAGGTAACGAAGATAGAAAATTAAATTGTTTGCAATGAAATAATGATTCTATTATACCTCATTTATAAGTGCTGTAGAAATGACAAAATATGGTCTGAAATGTGGAATTTACAGAAAACAAAGTGATGAGAAATATTTCGAAATCAACAATACTTTCTAATACATGTACATTGTATTTGTAAAAAAACAAATTATATTTCCTTACTATCTTGTAGGGGCAAGGGTGGCATAAAAGGACATGAAACACCTATATACGAGGCTGTTGGAAACCCTTTTGCTGACCGCCCCTCGACAGCACGTAAAAATAAGGAAGCTGCAGATGCTCTGGAGAGTGCTATGGCTGAACTAGACAAGGAAACTAATGCTCCTGACGGTGTGGAGATGTTCATATGGGAGCGAATGTGTAAATACAGGAGACAGAAAATGCACAGTGAACAAATGGTAATTTTTATTAGCTCACATGATGAGCTTTTGCAATCACTCACTTGTCCGTCTGTCTGTCCGTCCGTCCGTCCGTCTGTCTGTCCGTCCGTCAACAATAGTGGCACGTTTTAAAACCTCTGTCTATAGGATTCCTGTTTTAAGTTATTTCTGTTCAACATCAATACAGAAAACCCCCCTATGACTCCTGGTTCAAAAGCTCACCTATTTTCAAAATGGCCGTCACTTTTGTCTCGCGAAATTCACTTTTAGACCATTTCCTAGCTAACCTCTGTCGATAGGATTCCTGTTTTAAGTTATTTCTGTTCAACATCAATACAGAAAACCCCCCTATGACTCCTGGTTCAAAAGCTCGCCTATTTTCAAAATGGACATCACTTTTGTCTCGCGAAATTCACTTTGGGCCCATTTCCTAGCTTTACAAATAATTTCAGGTGTTCTGCATTGTAAAAATCCATGTCAATGTAAAGATTAGATATATGAAATAATTTTGTTACAAAAAATCAGCGAAAAATTGTATCCATTTTTTTATTTTCAGCCATTTTAGTTAACATTGATTTGTCTATCTGACTCGCGAAATCCACTTTCTGTCAATAACAGTGGCACGTTTTAAAACCTCTGTTGATAGGATTCCTGTTTTAAGTTATTTCTGTTCAACATCAATTCAGAAAACTCCCCTATGACTCTGGTTCAAAAGCTCGCCAATTTTCAAAATGGCCGCCATTTTTGTCTCGCGAAATTCACTTTTGACCCATTTCCTAGCTTTACAAATAATTTCAAGTGTCCTACATTGTAGAAATCCATTGCAAAGTAAAGAGTAGATGTATGAAATAATTTTGTTACGAAAAATCAGCGAAAAATTATATCCATTTATTTATTTTCAGCCATTTTAGTTAACATTGATTTGTCCATCTATCTCGCAAAATTCACTTTTGGACCATTTACCTTAAACCCTCTGTCGATAGGATTCCCATTTTAAGTTATTTTTGTTCAACATCAATACAAAGAACTCTCCTATGACTCTTGGTTCAAAAGCTCGGCTATTTTCAAAATGGCCATCACTTTTGTCTCTTGAAATTCACTTTTGACCCATTTCCTAGCTTTACAAATATTTTCAGGTGTCTTACTTTGTAAAAATCCATGTCAATGTAAAAGGTAGATATATGAAATAATTTTGTTACAAAAAATCAGCGAAAAATTGTATCCATTTTTTTATTTTCAGCCATTTTAGTTAACATTGATTTGTCTATCTGACTCGCGAAATCCACTTTCTGTGGCACGTTTTAAAACCTCTGTCGATAGGATTCCTGTTTTAAATTATTTCTGTTCAACATCAATTCAGAAAACTCCCCTATGACTGGTGGTTCAAAAGCTCGCCTATTTTCAAAATGGCCGCCATTTTTGTCTCGCGAAATTCACTTTTGACCCGTTTCCTAGCTTTACAAATAATTTCAAGTGTCCTACATTGTAAAAATCCTTGTCAATGTAAAGACTAGATGTATGAAATAATTTTGTTACGAAAAATCAGCGAAAAATTATATCCATTTATTTATTTTCAGCCATTTTAGTTAACATTGATTTGTCCATCTGTCTCGCAAAATCCACTTTTGGACCATTTACCTTAAACCCTCTGTCGATAGGATTCTCATTTTAAGTTAATTTTGTTCAACATCAATACAAAAAACTCTCCTATGACTCTTGGTTCAAAAGCTCGCCTATTTTCAAAATGGTTGCCATTCTTGTTTCGCGAAATTCACTTTTTTCCCATTTCCTAGCTTTACAAATAATTTTAGCTGTCCTGCATTGTAAAAAGCCATGTCACTGTAAAAGGTAGTTATATGAAATAATTTTGTTACAAAAAATCGGCAAAATATTATATCCATTTTTTTTATTTTCAGCCATTTTATTTAACATTGATTTGTCCATCTGTCTCACGAAATCCTCTTTTGGACCATTTGCTTAAAACCTCTGTCGATAGGATTCCAGTTTCAAGTTATTTTTGTTCAACATCAATACAAAAAACTCCCCTATGACTCCTGGTTCAAAAGCTTGCCTGATTTCAAAATGGTCGCCATTTTTGTCTCGCGAAATTCAATTTTGGCCCATTTCCTAGCTTTACAAATAATTTCAGGTGTCTTGCATTGCAAAAAGCCATGTCACTGTAAAGAGTAGTTGTATGAAATAATTTTGTTACAAATTATTGGCAATAAATATATCAGTTTTTTCAGCCATTTTAATTGACTGAGAGACAGATGGCTTGAAATAATTTTGTAACAAAAAATCAGCAAAAAATTATATCCGTTTTTTCTGTCACCATGTGAGCCCAGTACCTATGGTACTAATTTTTTATTATTCTGTGACCCTGAAATATGTGAATGACTCCCCAATGAGAAATAACTCATATATTAACTACCCTGTTGGGTAATCACGTGTTGATGAAACATTGTTATGTTTTAGGTTAAACAGAAAGCTCTTGTGATGGCTGAGATGAATGCCTTCCTGCAGAGGTGTCAGGCAGAGGATGATCACTTGAAGGATGAAATAGAAGGACTTAAAGCTTCATACAATAGGTAGGTACAACAAAGTAGAAAAGACCAAAATGCCTGACATAGTTAGAGGAAGGAAAATTTAAGAGCAAAATCAGTTATAAGGAAAAAAACATCTCAACCAATGATCTAAAGTTTAAAGAAACATTCTCTAACACTTCCTTCCCCCCATTTAATGTGTGGTGTTGGTGCATGTAAATGTAGAACGAACTTGTGGATTTGTATTACCAGGATCCTTGAGATATTCCTTTTAAGAGTTCATTTTTATCACGATATCACTAAAATGAATCGATTTACTTAGGCATTGTCATTATTATGGACACTTTCCCCTATGAATAGACTCAGATAGACAATGTTGTTGTTATTGACACTTTCCACAATGAACTGGCTGACACAGACAATGTTATTGTTATTTCAGACTGAAAGAAGAAAAGGAGAAGTTTATGATGAACCTAGATGTCCAGCTGGTGGTGAAACAAGGACAGGTGGAGGTTGACCCCCAGTCCTGGATACATAACTTTTCACAGAGCCTGCTCATCCACAGATCTGTCATAGAAGACCTTAATGGAAGAATAAAGGTACATTTCATTGATCCTTTAAATATCTTGATTTCATTGGTCATTTTAGCATTTGCCCTTCTAAAACTGCCTCAATTCTGGGCTAAAAAAATGATTGTTTCTTGAATTTAACTGCCAGCTTTAGATAATACATAAAAATTATAGCAATTCATTTTAAAGATTCCATAAATCTGTCATATATGTATTTATCACATGATTAGGAGTGTCTAAGCATTTTGATTGGTCAATTGTGATGATGTATATTCCGTATCACATGACACATGACTAATTTTCATGTGATACGGTGAGCTGTATCTCTACGGAGTCAATAGCAACGATGTGACGTCACTGATTATATCATTTCTAGCTAAGGAAAACAATATGACGTCATACTATTTCACAAAAAAGTACGAATACAACGGTATGACGTCATATTGTTTCAAAGCGAAATCAAAAATTATAATAGTTACCAGGAGTACAGAGTACTGAAAATAGTCATAACTGAACTGACCAAATCAAAATGCCTCAAAATTCCTAGACATGTGATAAAATCGTCATCACACGTTTCAGCTAATGTGATACATTAAATATTCCACTCGGGTACCAATGTATTACCACTCAAGCTTCGCTTTCGTGGATGATACAGTATTACCTTTCGTGGAATATTTCCTGTATCACATGCTGAAATGTGTGATAACTGATAGTATTCAAATCTCAGTGATGTCAATCATGAAGCTTCATAAATGTCTCAATTTGATGGAAACTGGCCCTTTAAACTAGCCCTGTTCTGAACTAAATGGATAAATCATAATTTCAATTTGAATTACATATGTTAGCCTTGTGGATCTTAATGAATTGTGATTTCCATTTTGTTTTAGCATCTTGGAGATGGTAAGATCTTGAGTATGAAGGAGAGCAAGGACTTCAAGAAGGGGATCATCCAACTAGAATGGGAACACAAGAAGATGATAATGGAAATGGAGGACCTGAAGGAGAAGATGAGAGATGTGACAACATTGAAAGTCACCAGAGAGATTCAGAGTGTAAGACATAAAAATATATTTTTCTAAGTTTGTTTAAACATTGTAGACTCTCCCACTTTTTCCTACACCCAAAAAGCATTGATATATTTTCAATTGATGAATCATTAGACTAAGCCTGCCGAAAGCGAATCAGAAAGTAAAAATCATTGAATGTTCAAATAGCATTAGAGCTCATTAGTTGACTTTGAACACCTCTCATTGTGAACACTTTTTCTCTGTCCCAATTATTCTTTTTCAGTTAATTGAAAATTGAGGTTAATATTTGGTATCTATTTTGCAGTTCCTGAATGAAGAGGACCATGAAGCCAAAAAGTCACAAGAAGCTAGTGTATTAGAACAAACTCTTGTCATGCAGAAAAAAGTAAGTTGCATTGTCACCTCCTTTTTTCAAAATGGAGAAGAGAGAGTTATTATGTCACCACCAAAAGTGGTGACATATTGTTATGGTCTTTGTTTTTTTGCGACGGCGGTTGGCGTCCGGCGGTTGGCGTCCGGCGGTTGGAGGTTGGCGTCCGGCGTCTGTAACAATTTCTTACAACTTCCTATAACTTAACAAATACTGTTTAGACTGACTTCAATTTTTTTCTAAATCATCTACATGTTCTCAGAAGTTCAAATCTGACTTTAGATTTGACATTTGACCTTCAATGACCTTCTCAAGGTCAAAAAGGTCTTTTTTCAACTTGCTTCACATTGACTAAATTTTTTTTCAAAATCATCTACATGTTCTCAGAAATTCAAATCTGACTTTAGATTTGACATTTGACCTTTAAATCTGACTTTAGATTTGACATTTGACCTTCAATGACCTTCTCAAGGTCAAAAAAGGTCAAAAAGGTCTGTTTTCAACTTGCTTCAAATTGACTAAATTTTTTTTTCAAAATCATCTACGTGTTCTCAGAAATTCAAATCTGACTTAAGATTTGACTTAAGATTTGACATTTGACCTTCAATGACCTTCTCAAAGTCAAAAAAGGTCAAAAAGGTCTTTTTTCAACTTGCTTCAAATTGACTAAATTTTTTTTTCAAAATCATCTACATGTTCTCAGAAATTCAAATCTGACTTTAGATTTGACATTTGACCTTCAATGACCTTATCAATGTCAAAAAAGGTCAAAAAGGTATTTTTTCATCTTGCTTCAAATTGACTAAATTTTTTTTTAAAATCATCTACATGTTCTCAGAAATTCAAATATGACTTTAGATTTGACATTTGACCTTCAATGACCTTCTCAAGGTCAAAAAAGGTCAAAAAGGTCTTTTTTCAACTTGCTTCAAATTGACTAATTTTTTTTTCTAAATCATCTACATGTTCTCAGAAATTCAAATCTGACTTTAGATTTGACATTTGACCTTTAATGACCTTCTCAAGGTCAAAAAGGTCTGTTTTCAACTTGCTTCAAATTGACCAAATTTTTTTTTCAAAATCATCTACATCTTTTCAGAAGTTCAAATTTGACTTTACAAGTTCTCAGAAATTCAAATCTGACTTAAGTTTGAACTCATAATATTGTGAGCAACTAGGTGGTGACATTTTGTCATGTTAATGCCTTGTCTATTTAACTGCTTTAAATTAATTTTCCCTACATTTTCATAATAACAATTAACGCCTATTAGGCGAGTAGGCCAAGCCTCAAAAGTCCATAAATAAAGGAGTTTAATAGTCGGCTGACCCTATGGGATATTTTGGTATCGTTGGAAAGCTGAGATATTGACCTGTAATATGTGATAGATACCTACTTTGAAAACAGGTGACGTTACCATGGAAACGGGCATTGAACAATAGTTATACTTAATAAGAACTAAATACCCATTTCAGGTTTATGTGCACCAAATGATAAAAATATTCTCCTTTTTAATGCGTAAATGGTGAGAATTCAATAGAGATAGGTAAATCTTCAACATTTGTGACTAAATTTGTAGTATAAAACAGTTCTAATTTACATTGTGACATCACAATTGTGAAATTCAAATAGAAAACTGTTTATTTCATTTGGTCTCCTTTAATCCAATCCATCGTGTAATTATAATTTAGTTAAAATATCACCTTCATGTATATCAAATGAAAGCTGCTTTTCTTACAAATACGTTGGTATATGAAACAAAAGGATTGGACAATAACCCACTGAGATATACCATATTTTGCTCTGATGAAGCAATGGCCAGAACTACTGAAATCTACTATAATTGCACAGGTTTAGCACACAGTTTGTGAATTTCAATACCAAAACACATTTTAATTGTCTTATAACTTTAAATATCTGTGGCCCTTTGGATTAGTTTTGGTCTCATTTCAATAAAGAGGTATATATCTAAAATGTATGATATTGACTCATTTGAAAAGCATGTATTGTTACCATGGAAACAGGTGTTGAATAGGAGATTTCATTATTAAGAATAATGCATTTATATACATTATTAGTTGGTGATCTAGTGAAATACTGTGAATACAAATGAAGTGATCCTATGTGGATCCTATGGATAAAATTGGTATGTTCGAACAGTTACCACTTTGTTCTTGTAAACATAGGGATAGATTTGGATAATAACTGAAATGGGGTTTGTTGCTATGGAAACGCTTGTCAAACAATATATGTCCTTGATATGAGTAAAATATATAAAACAATTTGTTCGCATAGTTAACATTATGAATGTGTATTCTTTCAGTGCCTAATGTGAGGATATTGGTGGATTTGATTTATATTGACCATTAGTGGCTAATTAAGTTCAGTTAATTGAAGTGTATATATGCTATGTGATGTCACAACGGTGAATTTTGATTAAGATAATTGAAAATCAAAATTAATTACCGCAATTCATTGTGAAATTTCAATTTTATTGGAATGTGACTGTGTTATATATCATATTAAAGCTACTGGTCTATTGATTTCAGTGATATATAAAAGTAATATGATAAGTTTGATATATGCGGATATAACCCTTATTTCTTTCTGATGTATCAGTACTGGCTACAATGGCTAAATTGACCTGTTTTGGCACAAACAGATTCACGAACAAAATTTGTTAATACTGAATTATTTAAACTATTGATAAGAATGTGCAGAAAACTATTATTTGAATATTCTCTGCATGTAGATCAAATGAAAGCTTATTTTTTCAGAAAAAACATCCATATATTTTATTTTGCAATAACCTTTTTGTGACTCATGTCACAGATGGGCCACTAGATATGGTTAATGGTTCACAACTGTATTTGAAATCATGATTGTCTAATTTGACATACACTGGCATTCAGTGCAATGCCTAATATGAAACTTGTTATTACCATTTGCCAGAAAAATAAATTGTTGTAAATCTTTAAATTTTCCTGAAATAAAGTATACACTCTGGCAATTTTAGAAAATAGACACTACAAGGAATGATATCAAAAATATTCTAAAATAGAAACAATTTTTGCTAAGCTTACTCACTAGATCTGATTGGCCAAAGAAATTAGAATATTCGTATGCTATCACAATCATCAATTACCCATGTATTCCATAATATTTTTTATTTTATTTATTTTCATGTTTTTTATGTCATCGCCCGATGATAGTGACCAAAAATGATGCAATTTGATTTTCAACTACTAACAAGTCTTAAAATAGAACGAAAACGTAAAAATCAAGAGAAATCTCAAGGAATAGCTCTGATACTGGATCTGATACTGAATTTTGGCTAATATGGGATCTAGTATGGGATCTGATATTGAATTTTGACTGATAAGTAGTTGCTGTATTTGCAACTTATGTCCTGTGAAGATTTCAAAGCTCGTGGAATTTCAGTTTTCGATGTTTACTTTAAATTGGCAAAAAGTAGACTTTTGCCATTTTCAAGGAACTTTGTCATGTATAAGGTCAATTACTAAGTAACCAACTCATATCATTTGGACAAAAAAGAGGTTTTTCTGTACAAAGTTATACCTTTCCAAACATATTGTGGTTACAATTCACTGTCTGAACACAGGGCCGAAGGTCCTTAATTCTAGTACCCGGTGGTTGCTTAACAATGAAAATGATAAGTTTCAGTGATTTTTCAATTTATTTAAGAGACTCTATGCCATAGGTTAGCTTAATCAAGATACATTCATGTATGAATCAAAGAACATATCAAAATCAAGATAAAAATAAGATTAATATAATTATCATTAGTCTATATATAGGCTTCCAATTCCAAACATGGAAAATGAGTGATAGTGTTAATACAAGTTTATCTCTGAAACTAAATGCAGTTACTTTATGAAACTTTCAAATATTTATATTTTAATGATCTTTCTTTCAGATGACCTAATTTCAAGAATACCCCTTCTTCACTTGAGAAATATAGGTAACAGTACTAAAACAACTAGAAAAACAGCAACTCCACAGAGTAGCAAATCCCACCGAACAAAACATGTTTTGGTAAATAGCGGCCATATAAAATTTGAGCCAAATCTATCCACTGGTATTTGAATTATCAAAGATTGTGTTTTTATGATACATGGTTGCCAATTCAGCTGTCATCTTTAGATTTCTTCTTTAGCAGAGCTCCTATGTCCCAAGGCATCAGCATATACAATTTAATCCAAATCCATCAACTGGTACTTGAGTTATCAAGGATTACATGTTTAATGAAAAATTGTGGAGATTTCGATAAATAGCAGCCACCTTGAAAATTTCTTCTCAAGCAGAGCTCCTTTATCTCTAGGCATCAGTATATACAATTTGAAGTAAATACGTTCAATGATATTTGAGTTATCAAGATTACCTTTTTTATGAAAAATGGCAGCCATTTTGAAATTCAGCTGACGCCTTTGAAATTTCTTCTGAAGCAGATCTCCTATTTCCCAAAACATCAGGATATAAAATTGGAACCAAATTCATCCACTGGTATTTGAGTTATCAATGATTATGGTTTTTTTACGAAAAATGGCGGCCATTTTGAAATTCAGTGGCCATCTTGAAAATGTCTTCTTGAGCAGAACTTCTTTGTCTCTAGGCATCAGCATACAGAATTTGAACCAAATCAATCAACTGGTATTTGAGTTATCAAAGGTTACATTTTTTATGATAAATGGTGGCCATTTTGAAATTTAGCTGCCATCTTGAAAATCCCTTCTCGAAACAGAGCTCCTATGTCCCTAGGCATCAGTATGTAAAATTTGAACCAAATCCATTCAATGGTATTTGAGTTATCAAAGATAACGTTTTTTTACGAAAAATGGCCGCCATTTTGAAATATGGTGGCCATCTTGAAAATGTCTTCATGAGCAAGGCTCCTTTGTATCCAGGCAACAGCATATGAAATTTGATCCAAATCCATTCAATGGTATTTGAGTTATCAAAGATAGCGTTTTTTACGAAAAATGGCCGCTATTTTAAAATATGGTAGCCATCTTGAAAATGTCTTCTTCAGCAAGGCTCCTTTGTACCCGGGCAACAGAATATAAAATTTGAGCCAAATCCATCAACTAGTATTTGAGTAATCAAAGATTATATTTTTTCCGAAAAATGGAACGAACGGACGGACAGCTTTTCTATATCCCCCTCGAACTTCGTTCGGTGGGATAATAATTTTTCCAAACTTAATACCGTAGAGTTACCTAGTTAAACGTTCAGCTGCTTAGAACTAGCAATCTACCCATTCGAGTGGGTCACCAAGGGTCCATAACAGCTCCACATGGCAACAGCTCCCATCAAATGCTCGTCTGTATTGATCGTTTGACCTTAATATGACATTGGCCAAGAAACATTGACTTTGACTTCAGGTCACTTAATCATGAGTCACTGAGGGTTACAGTATCCTTCAAGTAAGTGTCGAACTTTGTTCTTGAGATCTTGACAAATATAATGTTGACCTTAACCCCTAAGGTCACCTAGTCATGGGTTGCCAAAGATCACAACAGCCCACCAGGCTCTTAAAACACCAAATATCTAGATATCAACCTTTGATCTAAGTATGACCTCAGGTCACGTAATCATGGGTCGACAAGGGTCACAATAGCCCTTAAGGTACTTACTTAGATAGCAGCCCCAAGGACCTAACATCACCAAATATCTAGATATTGACCTATGATCTTGGAATAACCATGACCTCAAGTCACCTAATCATGGGTCGCCAAGGGTCAAAGCAGTCCCAAATGCATTAAAACGCCAAATACCAAGGTATTGACCTCTGATCTTGGAATAACCTTGACGCGTAAATATTGACCTTGAACTCAGGTCACCAAATCATTGGTCACCAAGGGTAAGAGTAGCCCCAGAAATCTTAAATTTCAAAATACCTAGATATTGACATTTGACCTAGTAATGACCTTTACCTCAGATCACCTTATCATTTGTCGCCAAAGGTCACAACAGCCCCAGATGCATTTGATCTGGGAATGACCTTGCCCCACAAAGTTGACCTTGACCTCCGGGCACCTAATCATGGGTCGTCAAGGGTCAAAGCACAGATCAAGGGTCTTAAAAAGCCAAATACCTAGATATTGACCTTTTACCTTTAAATGACTTTGACCTCTGATCTTCGTAGAATGTCCACCAATCCACTTAGTATGTTGACCAAGTATGGGAGCTCAGGGTCAAACGGTCTAGGCGGAGGAGATGTCTGGACAGACAGAGAATGACAGACAGACCACCATACGTCATACATGCTGACCCGATTTGTACCCTAATAAGTATTAGGGTATTAGTGTTGTGTTTATAGCCCCTAGTGCTTCCTAGTTGGCCTTAGAGAATATCCTTGAAGATCCAAAATAGTGGAACCATAAAAGACTAAAGACAGATCTTCATCTTTTGGTTCAGAGTTTGAACACAGTTGAAAAAATTCAGTTCTTTTGTATGGTGATGAAGATTTAGATAATTCATTAAATGAAAAATATTAATAGAACTAATGAGCCATTTTGTAGATCAAAGTTTGAGCCAAATTGATTGGTTTGGCTAATTTTTGCATGCATGTGTTAACTCATCCCTGGCCCATGGGATTATAGTTTCTTATATGAGTTATAACATTACTTTGATGAATTTTTAAATGTTAATGCATTCCTATTCATATTGTCTAAAATTGCCGCTAATGTTTTTTATAAAACTTTGGCAATCAATTGCATGTCTATAATTGTTAACTAAAGGAATAAATCTATGTATAAAAAAACCAAAAAACAAAGACAGTTCCTTGAAGGAGGGCCTTCGTTTTTTCAATGATGGAAACATTAGGTCCAAATAAGACTTTAATGATTTCCATACAGTCATATGGTGGTGTCTGCATAGAAGGTCCTGATTGGCATTTAGAATCTTCAGAATAAGGGACAGTGGCTTCATAGAAGGCCCAGTACCAGCACAACAGTAATTTCAAGGAAGACTCTTGTAGATTACTACATGGTCATGGTCGTTCCATAGAAGGCCACAGCGGTATCCCGTCAATCCACAGTAGTTCGCATTTTTGTTCCATAAAAGGCCCTATCCCTGGTTGTGCCTTGATAGACATTGTCCTTAGCTCAAATAATTCCCATTTAAAACATAGCAACCCCTTCAAATAGGCGATGCCAGAACCAGAATTTGATTTATATAAACACAGTATTCCTAACTTGATTGAATGATAAATTCTTATGAAATCATTCTTTAAAATTGTTGATTGTATACAAATTAAATTGTTAATTATTTTTAAAGTATATTTCACAATATAAGATTGATATTTATCCAATAGTCGACTACATGAAAAGAATCCTCAAATAATCATGAATTTATTGAAGGAATATTTTTGCAGACTTTTTGAGGTCATGTGACCATGCCGTACAGTATGTGAAGTTATCATGGATGATTGGCTCATGGAGTGCAACATTGATATTTTTGCCATATATGGACATGTCGTGATTTCAAAATTTGAAGGCTGAACTAAAGTAGAACTATGCATTAGTTTCTCATTTGTACGCATTTCAATAAAAAAAATATTTATAATCGACTTCACAAAAAAATAATTCTTGTGTAAATTATCCCTTACAAATACAGCTCGATGGATTCCGAAAGTGGAATAATTAGTCTTCACAAAATTGATATACGAGGGGGTCCAAAAGTTTTGAACGCCCTGCTGTTTTTTTAATGAACATGAAACTTTCAAATCATTAAGAACAATTTATAAGTTTCACCAAAAAAATGTATTATTTTGGGTACTTTTCTAAATAGTTTTTAATAAGGAGACCAAGCCAATCGGAATTAATGAATACAATTATTTCTAAATCACGCCCATGTCTAAAATGAGTAAACAGTTTAGTGCAACTTTAAAAAACACCAAAAGTTGTAAATCATTTATTATAATGACATCACAATAGGAGTATTTACTTAAATTAGTGACTTTAAATGTTTATAAAGCTTTGTCTGATATGAGACATACATGACAACATACCGTATGTACTGAGAAAAACACTTTTCTTGCGACTTTCAGACTCATCCATCAGGATAAAAAGTTGTTCCACCTCTCCCGAGACTAGCATAAAAGATGTTAGTCTCAGACCTCTCATACAGTATTTTGTGTCTATAACCACTGATACCCCAGATTCAAAAGCATGAAACCACGGCATAGCTTGATCTAATCATGTTGATTTACTGATCATAATACTCGTTATTGCACTAGCTTTAATTTGATATCCATAAAGTGCATATTCTTTTGCAATTGTAATCATGGAAGATATCAGTTTCACGGCAAACTCTTTCTCATTTGAAATCCGCTATTGTGATGTCACAATAACACTTTAAAATTTAATATATAGAACCTTTTAGTCATTATAGTTCAAGATTGATAAAAATTGGTCATTGCCACACAATTGCTATTAATAAAATATACATATTTGGATCACTGGCTGGAAATGCCCATTCCTATACGTATTTCAATCTTATTAAGGATACCTATTGCTCAACGCCCGTTTCCATGGCAACGGCACCTGTTTAAACACTAATCATATATCACACATCATAGACAGTTGTCAAAGCTTTGCATTGATACCAACTTTTCTCATAGGGTCAAAATACTACTAAAGTTATGATATCAATAAGAATGTATACAATGGTAGAAATTCGCCAATATTTTGTCATTTGCGATAATGCCGAACTGCTGATAATTTCTGTAACTCAGGCCACAATTTAAATCACCTTATATCATAATATCTCAGAGAGTAAATGATCAATGTTTACAATTTATATACCAAAATGATCGTGAGAGCAGTAGCTTTCATTTGATATACATAAAGGTAACATTTGTAAGCAATTGTGATTACACAATCTAATGGTGTTAATAATTTCATATGAGATCAACTGTTTTTTATTCAAAATAGACCATTATGACATCACAATAATCAAAAGAGAGTAGAATATGTATAATTTTGAGTTAAATGTTGAAGATAAACTAAAATTCTTTCAATTCCTTAATTTTCATTCTTTCAGAGTTGCACATTGACTTAACCAGATATCCCCTGCAATGGTGCTGTACTTTTTATTCTTATTAAGGACATCTTTTGTTCAACGCCCGTTTCCATGACAACGTCACCTATTCCAACACAAATTATTTATCACACGACATAGACAATTCTCTGAGCTTTGCTATGATACCAAATTTTCCCATAGGGTCAGTTGAACTATTAAACTCATAATTTATTTCTTTGGCCTACTCGTCTATATTCAGATTTCTAACAATGCTTTCTGCATATATTTATATATTCTGTATATATTTTTTGATTAGATGTAAATGGATATTTTATCAAACTAACTTTATATTTCCAGCACCATGAAAAGACTGTTGCTGAGAAGAAGACAATATTAAAAGATCTGAATAGAACTGCCAAAGAGAAGGAAGACCAAAATAATGAGATGGACATTCAACTTGCAGAACTCAATGTATCTGTCAATGAAAGGGGACATATCAATGAAGTTAATGGTAAAACGAGTTTAATATTTGAATTTGTTTTACCTTATTCTATCAAATTTTTCATGACCTTTTTTCATCTCTCTCCCCATTTAAAATAATTGAACTTTTATCCAGTATAGTAATTCAAAATGCAGTTAAACATGTACATGTGAACATTTTTTGCTCTCTCTAAAGTGAACAATTTTAAATGTGAACACTTTTTCCCAATCAGAATTTTACTGTCACATTTTTATTTAAGTTCTTCCAATCTGTCCTGATTTTGCTGTATGTTAGATAAATTGACCCATCATCAGGAGAAATACTCCTATTATCATTACTAAATCCTTGTATTGTTATTCTTCATAATGAGAGTACAGAAAGATACAAAATCCACGTTTATTTGCTATCAAGAGCAGGGTTCAATTTCAAAAGAGTATTCAATATATCCTCAAATGGGCAACAATAAATGAAAAAATCTAACTGTACCAATTATTGTGATTGCAGCTGACAAGCGCAGCGACTCTGGGGCTGAGAAGAGGTATGCTGACATTGTACAGAGACGTAAGCTTGTAGACCTGGCCAAAGCACAAGCACAGGAGGTGGCTGTACTAAGAGCTGAGGTGGAGAGACTTAGAATGAGAACATTCCCTGCTCTAGTCCAAGTTGAACATTAGTAATAAAGACCTCTGTGTCATCAATAGGATTGCATTATACATAGATCGAATGGAACATCATTTCTGAGATTCATGGATTTTCTTTTTATTCATTGGAAAATTAACTTGTTTTTCAGATCCTAACTGCAATTTAACTTGATAATTTCTTCAATTAAAAAACAAGAAAAACCATGCTCACTGGAATGTATATAAGAACTCAATGTATATGGACTGTACTGTTTCTGGAAAGATGTCGCATTTTCTTGACACAATATTCACTTTATTCTTTGACATCTGTGTGAAGTGATGATGTGCGATTCCATCAAAACCTTCCTTCTCAATATAATGACCAGTATTCATGTTCAATTTGATTCGTCCGTCCAAATTCTTTGCTCAGAAAACATGAATGTCAAATTGTTGAATTATGTGATAACAAATAAGTTTTTTATTTGTCTCAAACTGATATGAAAAAGCAGTGTACACAAATCCGTCCAGCAAACTTATGATCTGTGCAAATAATATATAACAAAACATTTTGATTTAATAAAATGTACACATAATTATATTTTATTTAATGTGATATTCAATTCTACTTTTAATAACATACATATAATGTAAATATTGTACATAAAAGTACCAGTTTTACTGAATCCATCCATTTAATTTTATTACATGTACTTGTATATTTGTTAAAGTTATAAATTGTATATAAAAATATATAAAGAATAAAAACTTAAATACATGAGTTCTCTTCTCTTCAGAATTCAACATATGGTATACTGATACAGTTTGGTTAAAGTGGTGCTATATTTTCCATATGGTACTTTTATTTGAAACAATTTTAAAATGCATGCTGTACTAGTGGTGCAGTAAACGGTTGTCGAGTCATGTTCTTGCAGTGAGGGCCTCGAATAACAATTTTGTTGATAGAGCATTCATAAACAGTTTTGGAAGTTCTTCATCATTTTAAAAGATATAAAGACCTCAAAAGGCACAATTCTTGGCTTAATTGTTTATAAAGGTGTCATATTTCTAGTTTTCTCCATGACATGTACATATCGTGTTATGTAACACTAACTTATAGTACAGCACATCATGCTGTATTGTATTTGATGAAATCAATCTGTTGTCCTGTATTATATTACCACTTTAACATGGTACAATAGACATCTGAAAGTCTTGAAAAATGAGTTAAAATTATAACAAATATCATGAGTTAGTAGGTGTAGCCTTGAGGCATGAGGCAGACGAGGCAACTGCCTCACCAACATTTTAGAAGAACATACTTTCAGACATATTCCTGATTTTGAATTGTTCTGGTCTAAAATTACATTCTATTTAGACTATATTTTTTTTATTGACATAGTTGATCAGTATAAAATTTACTAAATTCAACAGAGACTGGCAAATAATACACAAAATATATTTGGTATATACCTCGTATAAAATTACTGATACCTTGTGCAAGATGGATATCCAGAGTAAGCTATGAGACTGCATTGAATGAGGTTGGGGTTGATCTAGAGAAGGAAAAATGTATTTAACAACAAACTCATAGATCTCTGATCGACCCTCCCCCTGAAAGACTGAGTAAAAATGGCATTCACAATCTTATTCAACATGTTAGAGAGTACCATGTTCTACAGTTCATTAACTTTGAGTGACTACTTAGTGGTGTGATTTCATTTATCATTATCAACGAAGTTCGGAGGGATATAGGGAACGCCTCCGTCCGTACGACTGTCCATCCGTCCATCCATCCAGGCAATAACTCAAATACCGTTGGCCCGATTTTGTTCATATTTTATACACATATACCTTATGGGGGTAGAAATTCTGCTCAAAAGCCGATTTTCCAAATGGCCGCTCAATTAAAAATGGCGGCCATTTTAGTGCCAATTTTACAGTAATTTAGGTACAATATGTAAAACTGTAGGACCCTAATAGCAATATGTTTTAATGTAAAAAAATATATAGGACATTAATAAAGCTAGAAATGTAGGTATTAAAGAACCACATGACAGCCATCTTGAAAAATGGCGACCTTTACTCGCTTTATTACGATTTTTGCTGTAACTCAAAAAGTGTTGGAGCGATTTTGCTCATATTTGGTATGTGAATACTATAAGCATGGCACACTGTCTAATGACACTTGGTAGAAGGCGACCATTTTGAAAAATTGTCGAAAGTTATCGAAACGTGATGTCAATAAAAAACGTGACGTCAATAATGACGTTCATGGGCCGTATCAGGGCTGTCAACTTGGGACCGTCTAACATGAGTGGGGTAGGTATAAATTAATTTTGTCGAAACAAATGCGTGATATATACACATATATATATATATATTGTACAAAATGCGTGCCATAAACGGCAATCGCGTGCAAATACCGAACGGAATGCGTTCGCTTTTTTTCGCCGTTCGGTATTTTACTGTATCGGTATTTCACAAAAAAAAGATTTTTAAAAATATCAACAAAATGCGTGATTTGCGTGATATTTGATCATACACGCTAAATTGATGCGTGATTTCTATTTTTCCAGCAAATGCATGACAATCACACCTAATGCGTGAGGGTTGACAGGGCAGCGTATTGATCTGACGTTATTTAAATATTCAGCAAAACGTTGATGGATGGTTGAATTTCAACATTGTGGAAATGGCTTCAAAATATTTGTGAGTTAAGGAAACGTTACAAAGACTTCAATATGTTCTCACTAAATCGGTTCATTACCGACGTTATTTTAACGTTAAAAGTTAACGTTGTCAAAACGTTCTTATGACGTGAAATAACCTGACGTGATGTCGAAAATAACGCACATGTATCGTCCAGATTCAACGTTATAAATAATAAAAAAATTCCTAACCCTGATAGGAACGTTAAGTACCCGGTCACCCGGTTACCCGGTCACCCGGTTTTTTACACAAACCCTTGAAGGCATGAAATGTATAATATAATGAATTGCTATATCTATTTTTCCTGAATTTTAATCAGTTTAACCGTACTGGTTCAATAAGTACTGGGTTTATCCACTCTAGCCTAAGAATAATTCTACCCCAAAATTAGGCTACTTGAACTGATTGTGTAGGCTGCAAGAAGCACAACGTACCTGGTTTTGTTTAAAATCTAGCAAGATCAGAAGGAATGTAACAAAACCAATGATCAAAATTGAAGTGAACATTAATTGCCTTTCCTAAGAACTGATTCTAGAAAAATATTTTAACTGGCCTACATGTTAAAAATCAATTGAGAGCAAAAGTAAAATCTTGTGCATCTGATGTGATAAGCATAATGTGTAAAGCCTAAATAGCACCATATCCACACTACAGCTAGTGATAACAATAACTATATCAGGGCGTAGCCAGCAATTATCAATGAGGGTGCGAATTTTTGGGTTTGCATCACTCCAAGCGAAGCAAGACCCAAAAGGGGATACAAGAATTTTTCTAAATCAACATTGTTTATGGTCCATTCTAAGCATTTCAAATTATGATTTTTCAACAAATTTTACAAAATTGCACCCCCTGGCTATGCCCAACTATATGGGTTCCATATGTGTGTCCTGTACTGAGTCATGACACTTTTATAATAAAAATATCTCATCCTAGGCAATTTATCCTCCTTTCTTACTGGCTTCATTTGCAAACTGACGCACCACATTCAGTAATATTTCTCTATTGACTTGTTGCCCTACAAATGTTGTTAATGCCTCCAGTCCACTACTTCCTACTAATTCTTGAACTTTTCTCACTAGTTCTTTCTTCTCATAATCAGATAAGTTCCTGATAATGGTTACCATGGAGTCATATGTTTCTACATTGCAGTATCCATACACTGAGCCTGAAAGTAAAAATAACCAATTACAGATTATGTTAAACTTATTAAAATATAACCAAATCAAGAAAGAGACATTCACCATCGACAACATTTTAACGAGTAGGCAAAACAAATTTTAATGAAGTTCTAACCTGCTATTCCTCCTACAAGTGCCCCTACTGGCCCCATAACAACGCCACCTACTGCAGCGCCCCCTGCAGCACATGCCATCTGCTTGAATATCCCTAGATACAAAGATAATCATTAATATCTTGGTAAACAGATAAAAACAGACATTCATACTAGCAGAACCATTTCAACAATTTATTTTCATTTAACACTGATGATGCATTATTAGAATTTGAAACGATGAAATGTCCATAATATGGTTATCCATATGGCATAATACAGTGATCTTCCCAGAATTAAAGCAAGTGGGTGCAGCAACCACCTGAGATTTTAAAAACAGGCTTGCACCCATCCGAGACTTCATTTGCACTCACATGTAAAATGGGCATATTATGACTAATTTTGGACTGAATTGTGAAAATTGAAAACTTTGCACCCACTTAAGAAAAAAATCCTGGGGAGAACACTGCTATAACTCTCAAATATTAATAGTGAATAGAGGTGTCACACCAACCCAAAATTGACCCAAATCTCGGGTAAGAAGACTTGGGTCACAAACAACAACTTACCAATTTCGGGTTGAGTCAGAACATTCAGGAATATCATAAATTATTGTAAAATGCTTTATATTCCCGGAAAAATTTCTAATATAAATTATGAAAAAAAAAATTAACAGTTCTTGCTGAATGATTAGTGGTAGTCAACGCATAACATACAGTAATACAGGCTTAAACAGGCTTATAGCGTGCCTTTATTTCAGCCAGTAGTTTCAGTTGCTAGTTCTAAATTCATTTTTATGTTTTCTTCTACCTGATCTGCGAACTTTTCTGGCCTGACCCGACAAATAGCTGATCCGTGACACCATGGGCTTTCAACTAGAAGGGTAGGCAACTTCCCATATTTCATACATAAGCATTGCCTTTGGGTTTTCAAAATTGGAGAATGTACACATTCCAAGAAAATCGTATTTTGTCCTTTTTATGGATGATTTAAAGAAATAACTCAAAAATAAAAACGGTATCTACATGTTGATAATTTAATAAAAATGGAATTCATCGTAATTACGACAATAGAGAAAGTGAAAATTCTCCCACAAATTATATTTTTATTGGATATGTGTTCTTGAATCATTACCCAAAATACAATACTCGAAGAGAACATCTTGATAGCTCTTATTCTTATTAGTCTTTTTTGTTTACTTTTACATGAGATTGAATATATTTTATGCTTTAATCATATTGAAAATTGATTTTTTATTCAAAATAATACTAATATAGTACTAATAATACTAATATAATAATACTGAAATATTACCATAAAAGGGAAGCATGGGCCATTGCACATTTTGAAGGTCTCGTGTTATTACACAGAGTTGCATACCCTTCTAATTGAAAGCCCATGGTGACACCTCTAGTAGTGAATAATATATATGTATAGAGAGCATGTAGAAGTCGCATCATATGTTCACTATGATTGTTCCAGCCTATGCTGGTTGGGCGATTATCCAAGAGGACCCAAGAGATTTTTTTGATTGTTAAGGCCTGCAGCTGGATGGAAACAAAACAAATATCCTCCTCAACAATAAAGTTCATGGTAAAACTTACTTGTGACTAAAATATATTTATTGTGACCTTTACCTTTAGCAGTATGCTTTAAGTCCTGGTTTACTTCCAATAGTTCCATGATGTGACGGTAGTATGGGATAAATGCCATCCCTGCAATATTTGCTGCACCTCCAGTGGCCATATTGTTGCTTGGGAGTTCAGCTGATTGATCCTTCGATGGTTGATGTTTGCTGTATCGTTCAACAGTTGTGGCAGTGTCAGTTGTACATCGATCTGACAATATAACATAAATCATGCAGGAAAAATACACGATGCAAGTGACCTCTGAGTCTTGGTAAAGTGTTTACTGTTCACATTATTTTTGAAACCCAGTAAAATCAGGATGATTTATTCTTGACAAGTCAACTTTCTTAATTTAACTCCAAAGAATCTATGTACATGTAAGCTAATACACCGACTGTAGCTCCCTACACAGCCATTCAACATAACATTTTTCATCTTTCCAAAAATAATTTATCTCTTTCTCACTCATGATATGCACACATATATATACAACTAACCTTTGGGAATATCAGCTCTTGGCGTATATATATACAACTTTAAATATGTATACGTGTACTTTATTCACTTGATGAGTCGTTAAACCAGAAAATTTCGTAAAATCATAAAATTTCATCAGGAATCAAAGTTGAAGGTCGTCCCCAAATTTTGGTCACGTGATTAGGTATTTCCCAAAACATTTTGCCTCTCTTATAAGTATATACTACAAATATAGCATTAAAATAATAAAAATCAAATAAAAAATAGATTTTTATTAAAAAAAATTATTTTGATGTATGTTTCAGCTTTTTTTTTTGATTGCTATGATTTCTATTTTAAATGCTATTTGAGACTGTACGCATGCTCAAATGCGACTTCCTTTCCCATTTTGTTCCAGAAAAATGTCACGCTACTCTAGACCCGCGAATAGTTCGCTCTATGTGCGAGGTGTACCTGATAATACACGGTAAATATATTGTATTAATATAATCTGATATATTGTGGTTATTCTGAAACATATTTGAAAGTGGATCGATGGGATTAATACATTGAATTACTGAGTTCGAAAATTCACCAACGACAAAAACAAAGGCGGGTATCTTCGGCCAAGATCAAGTTCAAATCAACCTGTGTTTTGTCGAATAGTTGTTGCGCAGAGACTCACCACAGGATCTTGTAGCACCTTATATGGTATTGTTTATGATGACTGATATGGGGCTTTATATAGATAGAGAAGGATTATAACGCCGACAAATTTCGAAAACTGGAAGTAAAAAAATATATGAATTAGATCTAGGCCTATTGGTCAGAATTTTATTTATAGAATTTTTTTAGATAAATGTCACTGCCTAACATTTCGATAAATTTAAATAAAAAAGTTTCTTTACTTTCTGATACCCATGCTAAGACCGTTAGGTGCTGTACAACCAAAACTCACCATTATAGCGATTTCTCCCCAAATCTTTTGCCAATTAACTTGTCCTTTACTCGTAGAATCATTGACCCACTAGAGATTTGTAGGGATGCTGCGCTTATGCTGTTCAGCCTGTAAAAATATGTTATTTTGCCGTTTTAAAATAGAATTATGAAAAGTCAGACGGGTCAAGTTTACTACGTCATTATTTCAAGATGGCGGCAGAGAATCGTCAAACAGTCGTATTTTTAAAATTAGTATGCTTTTACACATTTTTGAACAATAATAGTACAATTGGAATAGCGTATACCATTGCGTATATGTGTATTACAACTGGATCAAACCAGAGATCAATCGACGAAACATTGAGGGAGAAATCGCTCGATAAGGGAAACTATGAAAAATATGTCTGTAGAAGACTTCATGGTCTGATGCTAAGGTAACAGATAAGACGAAAAAATCATATTTGCAGCGTGTCTACAAGTAATATAATGACATGTATGTTGCCGCTAAATAATTTTTCTTAAGGTCAGGGTGCATGATGGGAAATTTTCTGCATCCCTCAATTGAGTCACATGTTATTTTTCAAACAAGAATCACTCCTTCCCAACATTGTCTAGATCTCCCTATTTTGCACAAAGAGTGCACTTATGTGCCTAGAAAAGACTTGTGAGAAGAATGTTTTGATAAAGTGTATAAACAACAAGAAAATTCAGTGAAAAAATTCAGAAAATTTTCAGGAGTTTTTTTCACTGAATTTTCTCATTTTTTATACATTTTACAAAACAAACCTTCTCACAAGGCTTTTCTAGGCACATAAGTGCACTCTTTGTGCAAACTTGGAAGATGTAGACAATGTGGGGAAAGAGTTATTCTTGTTTGAAAAATAACATGTGACTCAATTGAGGAATGCAGAAAATTTCCCAACATGCACCCTGTCCTTAAAAATGAGACCCTTATTGTGGAATTCTGAACAATAGTTTTTTTATTTTTTCATTTACAGAACCAGGAAGTAGTGAAGTGTTATTACCCTTATTACTTATACTATAGGGCCTCCCTTAGGAAAAAACCCATGTTTTTACATGCGTGGCGAAAGAGGGCACATGTTCTCACTTTACTTCACTTTAGTTCGCTTCATTTTGCCCCATGTGTGGCGTGGCATGTTGTTGTAAAAACAAGAGATGGCACTCTTGATTTTACTCCACTTTTACACGGGGCAAACTGTGGCAGAACATGAACAATGTGGCAAAATCATGTAACTCTTGTCTTGCTTTTACATGACTCCGCCATGTTTTTCCCACTGTGTTTAAGTATGGGGAATCGTGGTTACATGAATTAACATGAAATGTAGTACATTTTAGAGAAAATAGAGGGACTTACTTTTGCTCCTTAATTTACCTGGTTAGATTTTTTTTTTTCATTCTCTTTTTATTATATTACATTTCTGACAGTTTTTTAGCATTAAGGAGCCCTAACCAAATAAACTATGAAAAGGCAGATTTTCTTTTGGAAACCAACATCTCGAGTTAATCATATTTTCATATTCTAAAACTGCATCCATGAACCTGTAGTTAAAGCTGTATATAGTAGAAAATTGAACCTGTAGTTGAAAGTTTTACAAGTAATTGAACCTATAGTTGAACTGTAGTTGAGAGTTTTACATGTAATTGAATTGAACCTATAGTTGAACCCGTAGTTGAAAGTTCAAAATGTAATTGAATAGAACCTATAGTTGAACCCGTAGTTGAGAGTTTAACATGTAATTGAATTGAAACTATAGTTAAACCCATAGTTGAGAGTTTTACATGTTATTCAATGAACCTATAATTGAACCTATAGTTTGTCAATTTAGATGAAAATAGAACCTATAGTTGAACCTGTCATGGTAGTTTAGAGTTTTACATTTAATTGAATAAAACCTATAGTTGAACCCGTAGTTGAGAGTTTTACATGTTATTCAATGAACCTATAATTGAATCTATAGTTTGTCAGTTTAGTTGAAAATAGAACCTATAGTTGAACCCGTAGTTTAGAGTTTTACATTTAACTGAATAGAACCTATAGTTGAACCCGTAGTTGAGAGTTTTACATGTTATTCAATGAACCAACAGTTGAACCCGTAGTTGAGATTTTTACATGTAATTGAATAGAACCTATAGTTGAACCCGTAGTTGAGATTTTTACATGTAATTGAATAGAACCTATAGTTGAATCCGTAGTTGAGAGTTTAACATGTAATTGAATTGAAACTATAGTTAAACCTGTAGTTGAGAGTTTTACATGTTATTCAATGAACCTATAATTGAACCTATAGTTTGTCAGTTTAGTTGAAAATAGAACCTATAGTTGAACCCGTAGTTGAGAGTTTTACATGTTATTCAATGAACCTATAGTTGAACCCGTAGTTGAGATTTTTACATGTAATTGAATAGAACCTATAGTTGAACCCGTAGTTGAGAGTTTAACATGTAATTGAATTGAAACTATAGTTAAACCCACAGTTGAGAGTTTTACATGTTATTCAATGAACCTATAATTGAACCTATAGTTTGTCAGTTTAGTTGAAAATAGATCCTATATTTGAACCCGTAGTTTAGAGTTTTATATTTAATTGAATAGAACCTATAGTTGAACCCGTAGTTGAGAGTTTTACATGTTATTCAATGAACCTATAATTGAACCTATAGTTTGTCAGTTTAGTTGAAAATAGAACCTACAGTTGAACCCGTAGTTTAGAGTTTTACATTTAACTGAATAGAACCTATAGTTGAACCTGTAGTTGAGATTTTTACATGTTATTTAATGAGCTTATAGTTGAACCCGTAGTTGAGATTTTTACATGTATTTGAATAGAACCTATAGTTGAACCTGTAGTTGAGAGTTTAACACGTAATTGAATTGAAACTATAGTTAAACCCGTAGTTGAGAGTTTTACATGTTATTCAATGAACCTATAATTGAACCTATAGTTTGTCTACATTTGCAGGTTAACATATTAATATGCCAAAATTTAAACAAAATATCCTACCGAGTTTGTTTACTTGTTTACTTCTCTTAATTGGTATTTGTTTATTTAACCGCCACACTTTGCCACAAAATGCCTGAACTTTTTCAGTTTTTGCTTTACTTTGCTCCATTTAGCCACAAGTTTCTTATATATTCTTCCCAATGTCCACATTTCACATGAAATATTGAGGACTAACTATGTATAATCAGAAAAAATATGTTGCAAGTGGTTTTTCTCCAAATTAATAATTTCACATAAATCACATAATTGAATCTGTGCCTGTTAAATATTAAAATAATATATTAATAATATTTGAATTTTACAATTACAAATAAAAAAAAAATTTCATTTATTTGAACCTATAGTCAAACCCGTAGTTTGAAGCTTAACCCTTTTTGAGAAAAAGTATCATCTTCAATCATCAAATTTTCATATGTTAATTCAATTAAATAAATTGTGTCATACTCCTTTCTTTGGTGAGTTTTCTGAGAGCCATTATCTATTTTTAATTTATTTGAGACTGAGCTCTTCTCAATTGATTCTTAATTCTTGCTGATTTGGTGGTGATCTGTTGTTCCCGAAATTTGATTTAATACTGGATCATACTGTGTTAGCATTGGTATATATAGGATCTGAAACTTTAATCCTATTAATTAATCCATATTGAGTATCAGTAATTAGTTAATAAATGAGGGTGGGGTAGCATTGTTCTAAAACTATGACAATTCCCTTTAATAAGAAGAGTTTTACATGTAATTGAATTGAACCTATAGTTGAACCCGTAGTTGAGGGTTTTACATGCAAGCGAATTGAACCTATAGTTAAGTGAATGACATTGTTCAACTGAACCTTGATGCTTTAGTCAATCGTTGGACATTTAAACTGAGTCATTACATTTTTTCTTTTAATTGTTCAATTATTTCAAATTTTGATCAATAATTCTACTGTAACAAGTAAAATGTTTTATTAATTTCTTAAAATAGCAATTTATTATTTTCTAATCTGATCAAATTCACACTGCAGGTTAACATGTTAATATGCCAAAATTTAAACAAAATATCCTACTGAGTTTGTTTACTTGTTTACTTTTCTTAATTGGCATTTGTTTATTTAGCCGCCACACTTTGCCATGAAATGCATGAACTTTTTCAGTTTTTGCTTTACTTTGCTCCATTTACCCACAAGTTTCTTATATACTCTCCTCAATGTCCACATTTTACATGAAATATAAGGAATAA